CAGATGATGTCCAACTCTGTCACTCCTTTCCACCTGCTACTAAGGAGGCTGTCGAGGTCCTGAACCGGTGCCTGGCCGCTGTAATGGTCTGGATGAGGGCGAACAAACTGAAATTAAATCCAGACAAGACAGAGGTACTCCTGGTCAGTCGCAAGGCCGAACAGGGTATAGGGTTACAGCCTGTGCTGGACGGGGTCGCACTCCCCTTGAAGGCGCAGGTTCGCAGCTTGGGTGTGACCCTGGATTCATCCTTGAGCCTGGATCCCCAGGTTTCAGGGGTGACCAGGGGAGCATTTGCACAGCTTAGGCTCGTGCGCCAGCTGCGCCCGTACCTTGGGAAGTCTGACTTGGCCACGGTGGTACACGCTCTGGTCACATCCCGCCTTGACTACTGCAACGCTCTCTACGTGGGGCTGCCCTTGAAGACGGCCCGGAAGCTTCAGCTAGTCCAGCGCGCGGCAGCCATGTTACTAACAGGAGCGGGACGCAGGGAGCACACAACGCCCTGTTGTTCCAGCTCCACTGGCTGCCGATTTGCTACCGGGCCCAATTTAAGGTGCTGGTGTTGGCCTACAAAGCCCTAAACGGTTCCGGCCCAAAATACCTTTCGGACCGCATCTCGGCCTATGAGCCCACAAGGGCCTTGAGATCGTCTGGGGAGGCCCTTCTCTCGATCCCGCCTGCCTCACAGGCACGTCTGGCGGGGACGAGAGAGGGCCTTCTCGGTGGTGGCCCCCCGGCTGTGGAACACCCTCCCTGTTGACATCAGACAGGCGCCCTCCCTTGTGGCTTTCCGTAAGAGCCTAAAGACCTGGCTATTTGAGAAGGCATTTAACTGAGTGCTACATTAACTGGTAATGACAACTGGAACGGAATACGGATTATGAGATTGGTAGATCCCTATGTTGTGACGGTGCGGATTAGTAAGTGTAAGTTAGATTAAATGTGTAATATGGTTTGTTGATATATTGTGTGCTTTTGTAAACTGTTTTTATATGTTGTACACCGCCGCGAGTCGCCCTAGGGCTGAGAGCGCGGTCAATAAATGCAGCAAATAAATAAATAAATAAATAAATAATACTCATTAATTTATGCTACTCTTGTTCAGTGGTCCACGCTCTTGTTACATCCCGAATAGACTACTGCAACGCACTCTACGTGGAGTTGCCCTTGAAGACTGTTCGGAAACTTCAACTGGTCCAGCGAGCGGCAGCCAGATTGCTCACCGGAGCGACATACAGGGAGCACACCACCCCCCTGTTGTGTCAGCTCCACTGGCTGCCGGTTCAGTTCCGAGCACAATTCAAGGTGCTGGTTTTGACCTACAAAACCCTTTACGGTTCCGGTCCAGTGTATCTGTCCGAACGTATCTCCCTCTACGTCCCACCTCGGAGTCTGAGATCATCTGGGGAGGCCCTGCTCTCGACCCCACCACTGTCACAAGTGAGGCTGGTGGGGACGAGGAGCAGGGCTTTCTCAGTGGTGGCCCCTCACCTGTGGAACTCACTCCCAGGGGAAATCAGGGCATCATCATCCCTCCTCGCCTTTAGGAGGAGGGTGAAGACTTGGTTATGGGACCAGGCCTTTGGGCACTCTGGCAATTAAATCAGACAATCAGGCGAGTAAGACCAGCAGGATTGATGAAGTGGAACGTAAAACTAGATCTATGAGTAGCGAACGCTGACCATGTAAGAGGAGAAATTGGGTTTGTATTTGGTTTTATTGATTTTATTGATTTTATGGTTATAATGTATATTTGTTGTTAACTGTGTATTGATGTAATTCTGTGTTTGATTGTCTTTATGATGCAGGCATAAAATTGTGCCTTTGCTTTTGTAAGCCGCCCTGAGTCCCCTTCGGGGTGAGAAGGGCGGGGTAAAAGAACCCCAAATAAATAAATAAAATAAATAAGTAATGATTCTGTGATGTTCATTCGTTCAGTCGTCTCCGACTCTCGTGACCTCATGGACCAGCCCACGCCAGAGCTCCCTGTCGGCCGTCACCACCCCCAGCTCCTTCAAGGTCAGTCCAGTCACTTCAAGGATGCCATCCATCCATCTTGCCCTTGGTCGGCCCCTCTTTCTTTTTCCTTCCACTTTCCCCAGCATAATTGTCTTCTAGGCTTTGCTGTCTCCTCATGATGTGGCCAAAGTACTTCAACTTTGTCTCTAGTCTCCTTCCTCCAGTGAGCAGTCGGGCTTTATTTCCTGGAGGATGGACTGGTTGGATCTTCTCGCAGTCCAAGGCACTCTCAGAACTTTCCTCCAATACCACAGCTCAAAAGCATCTCTTCCTTCGCTCAGCCTTCCCTAAGGTCCAGCTCTCACATCCGTAGGTGACTACAGGGAATACCATGGCTTTGACTAGGCAATGGATCTTGGTTGCAAGTCTGATGTCTCTACTCTTCACTATTTTATCGAGACTGGACATTGCTCTCCTCCCAAGAAGGAAGCGTCTCCTGATTTCCTGGCCACAGTCTGCATCTGCAGTCATCTTTGCACCTAGAAATACAAAGTCTGTCACGGCCTCCACGTTTTCTCCCTCTATTTTCCAGTTGTCAATCATGCTTGTTGCCATAATCTTGGTTTTTTTGACGTTTAGCTGCAACCCGGCTTTTGCGCTTTCTTCTTTCACCTTGATTAGAAGGCTCCTCAGCTCCTCCTCGCTTTCGGCCATCAGAGTGGTGTCATCTGCATATCTGAGGTTGTTAATGTTTCTTCCAGCAATTTTCACCCCAGCTTTGCATTCATCCAGCCCCGCACATCGCATGATGTGTTCTGCATACAAGTTAAAAAGGTTGGGTGAGAGGATGCAGCCTTGCCAGACGCCTTTCCCAATCTTGAACCAGTCTCCTGTTCCGTGGTCAGTTCTGACTGTTGTTCCTTGGTCCTTGTACAGATTCCTCAGGAGAGAGGGAAGGGGGCTTGGGATGCCCATCCCACCAAGAACTTGCCACCATTTATGATGATCCACACAGTCAAAGGCTTTAGAGTAGTCAATGAAGCAGAAGTAGATGTTTTTCTGAAACTCCCTGCCTTTCTCCATTCTCCAGCATGATATTGGCAATCTGGTCTCTCGTTCCTCTGCCTTTTCTAAACCCAGCTTGAACATCTGGCAACTCTCGCTCCATGTATTGCTGGAGTCTTCCTTGCAGGATCTTGAGCATTACCTTCCTGGCATGATGAGAAATAAGGGCTACTGTACGGAAGTTGGAGCAGTCTTTCGCATTTCCCTTTTTTGGTATGGGGATTATTATTATTATTATTATTATTATTATTATTATTATTATTATTATTATACCAGGCAAGATTCTGGAAAAGATTGTCAAGGAAGTGGTCTGCAAACACTTAGAAACAAATGCGGTCATCGCTAATAGTCAACATGGATTTATCAAAAACAAGTCATGCCAGACTAATCTGATCTCTTTCTTCGATAGAGTTACAAGCTGGGTAGATGCGGGGAATGATGCCGTGGATGGAGCGTACCTGGATTTCAGGAAGGCCTTCTTCGACAAGGTCCCCCATGACCTTCTGGCAAGGAAACTAGTCCAATGTGGGCTAGGCAAAACTATGGTGAGGTGGATCTGTAATTGGTTAAGTGGACAAACCCAGAGGGTGATTCTCCCCAAGGCTTCCTCTTCATCCTGGAAAGAAGTGACGAGCGGAGTGCCATCAGCAGGGTTCCGTCCTGGGCCCGGTCCTCTCCAGGATCTTCATTCATGACTTAGATGAAGGGCTAGAAGGCAGGATCATCACGTTTGCAGATGACACCAAATTGGGAGGGAGAGCCAATAGTCCAGAGGACAGGAGCAGAATTCAAAACGATCTTGACAGATTAGAGAGATGAATGGCCAAAACTAACAAAATGAAGTTCAACAGGGAAAAATGCAAGATACTCCACTTAGGCAGAAAAAATGAAGTGCAAAGATACAGAATGGGGGACGATGCCTGGCTCGAGAGCAGTACGTGTGAAAAAGATCTTGGAGTCCTCGTGGACAAAAAGTTAAACATGAGCCAGGAATGTGATGTGGCGGCAAAAAAAGCTAATGGGATTTTGGCCTCAATAGGAGCATAGTGTCTAGGTCCAGGGAAGTAATGCTACCCCTCTATTCTGCTTTGGTTAGACCACACCTGGAATATTGTGTCCAATTCTGGGCACCACAATTCAAGAGAGATATTGACAAGCTGGAATGTGTCCAGAGGAGGGTGTCTCAAAGGATCAAGGGTCTGGAGAACAAGCCCTATGAGGAGCGGCTTAAGGAGCTGGGCATGTTTAGCCTGAAGAAGAGAAGGATGAGAGGAGATATGAGAGCCATGTATAAATAATATGTGAGAGGAAGCCACAGGGAGGAGGGAGCAGGCTTGTTTTCTCCTTCCCTGGAGACTAGGACGCAATGGAACAATGGCTTCAAACTACAAGAGAGGAGATTCCATCTGAACACGAGGAAGAGCTTCCTGACTGTGAGAGCCGTTCAGCAGTGGAACTCTCTGCCCCGGAGTGTGGTGGAGGCTCCTTCTTTGGGTGCTTTTAAACAGAGGCTGGATGGCCATCTGTCAGGGGTGATTTGAATGCAATATTCCTGCTTCTTGGCAGAATGGGGTTGGACTGGATGGCCCGTGAGGTCTCTTCCAACTCTTTGATTCTATTATTAATTATTATTAATTATTATTAATTATTATTAATTATTATTAATTATTATTATTATTATTATTATTATTATTATTATTATTTACACACACACATAAATATATTCTTATACTGTGTATACAGTACATGTCCTCTAGGGGGCACTGTTGCACGTGCGACTAATGGGGAACATACGGACACGCCTCTCGCTGTCCCTGAGCCAATCAGAGGCGCCATCGGCCCCTAGCGCCCGCCCTTTTCAAAGGACTCCCTCCTCTGGCCCCGCCTCCCCTCGGGACCGCTTGCGGCGCCTGCGTCGGTGGTTCCGGCGGGATACGGTTTCCGTCCGGACCAGTTTTGGGAGTGTACACCGGGTGTTTGAGCGGTGAGGCGGGGGAGGTAAGCCCGGTTTCCACGGCGGCGGCGTGTGAGTTTTGAAAATCCCGAGTGGTGGGCACTGTCGCGGGTGGGAAGGGGGTGAAACGAAGGGGGCAACGGGGAAGGTGTCACGGCATAAGGCGCCGTGGGGAAATTGTGATCGCTCTTTTCGTTCCACTTCGTTTCCCATTTCCCTGTTTCGAAGCCATGATGTTTCCTTTTTGTGGATTAACCCCCCCCCCCCCCATACACATATATATTTACACACAAACCCAGACGCACATATATTAAGATTATTACTCCCAGAATATCTTCAAGCAAATAGAATATCATCAAGCAAAAAGTGGGTGCCAGAAACAATATCATACGAAAGCTGACTGGCACAACCTGGGGATCACAACCAGACACAGTGAAGACATCTGCCCTTGCGCTCTGCTACTCTGCTGCTGAGTACGCATGCCCAGTGTGGAACACATCTCACCACGCTAAAACAGTGGATGTGGCTCTTAATGAGACATGCCGCATTATCACGGGGTGTCTGCGTCCTACACCAATGGAGAAATTACACTGCTTAGCCGGTATTGCACCACCTGACATCCGCCGGGAAGTGACAGCCAATAGTGAAAGGACCAAGGCAGAGACATCTCCAGCTCATCCCTTGTTTGGGTCTCAGCCAGCACGTCAACAACTTCAATCAAGAAATAGTTTTCTAAGATCTAGAGATACTCACTAGAACACCCCAGCAAGCGAGAGTCCAAAAGTGGCAGGCTCAAACCCAGAACCTCAATCAATGGCTGATACCAAATGAGAGACTCCCTCCTGGGCACACAGAAAACTGGGCGACTTGGAAGGCGCTGAACAGACTGCGCTCTGGCACCACGAGATGCAGAGCCAACCTCAAGAAATGGGGCCACAAAGTCGAATCCTCGACATGCGAGTGTGGAGAAGAGCAAACCACTGACCACCTGCTGCAATGCAACCTGAGCCCTGCTACATGCACAATGGAGGACCTCCTTGCGGCAACACCAGAGGCACTCCAAGGGGCCAGATACTGGTCAAAGGACATTTAATCAACTACCAAGTTTGCAAACTCTGTGTTTTGTCTGTCTGTTTGTTTGTTTTGTTCTGTTAGAAATGTAATATAATTGACTGGTTGCTCTGACATGACAAATAAATAAATAAATTCCAGTCCATATTAAATCTGTCATGTTTGGATTAGAATCCCCATCCAGTTCCAGTGAACACCTCCCAGACAGAGGGTGCCCCCAGGCAACAGAGGCCAGGCTACCTCTATGCAGATTTTCTCATTGATTGACTTTGCAGCTTCAAGCCTATGCAATGCTAATCAAGCTTGCTAATTGCAACATTCACACTGGCTTCTAAAAGAGAAGAGTTCTTTCTCCCGCTTTAGATAGCAGTTCCACAGAGGATGCCTCCAAGCAACAGGGGCCAGGCCAAATCATAGAATCATAGACTCCTAGAGTTGGAAGAGACCTCATGGGCCATCCAGTCCAACCCCATTCTGCCAAGAAGCAGGATTATTGCATTCAAAGCACCCCTGACAGATGGCCATCCGGCCTCTGTTTCAAAGCTTCGAAAGAAGGAGCGTCCAGCACACTCCAGGGCAGAGAGTTCCACTGCTGAATGGCTCTCACAGTCAGGAAGTTCTTCCTCGTGTTCAGATGGAATCTCCTTTCCTGTAGTTTGAAGCCATTGTTCCATTGCGTCCTACTCTCCAGGGAAGCATAAAACAAGCTTGCTCCCTCCTCCTCCCTGTGGCCTCCTCTCAGCCTTCTCTTCTTCAGGCTAAACATGCCCAGCTCCTTAAGCCGCTCCTCATAGGGCTTGTTCTCCAGACCTTTGATCATTTTAGTCGCCCTCCTCTGGACACATTCCAGCTTGTCAATATCTCTCTTGAATTGTGGTGCCCAGAATTGGACACAATATTCCAGGTGTGGTCTAACCAAAGCGGAATAGAGGGATAGCATTACTTCCCTGGATCTAGACACTAAGCTCCTCTTGATGCAGGCCAACATCCCATTGGCTTTTTTTGCCGCCACATCACATTCCTGGCTCATGTTTAACTTGTTTTCCACGAGGACTCCAAGATCTTTTTCACACGTACTGCTCTCGAGCCAGGCCTCATCGTCCCCCATTCTGTCTCTTTTAATTTCGTTTTTTCTGCCAAAGTGGAGTATCTTGCATTTTTCCCTGTTGAACTTCATTTTGTTAGTTTTGGCCAATCATCTCTAATCTGTCAAGATCGTTTTGAATCCTGCTCCTGTCCTCTGTCATGTTTGGATTGGAATCCCCATCAAGTTCCAGTTAACCCCTCCCAAACAGAGGATGCCCCCAGGCAACAGAGTCCAGGCTACCTCTATGCAGATACCCTCACTGATTGACTTTGCAGCTTCATGGCTGCTCAATGCTATTCAAGTTTGCTAATTGAAACATTCACACTTGCTTCAACAGATAAGGATTCTTTCTCCCACCCTGGACATTATTACACAGGGATATATACACTCCACTCACTGCCAACAGAACCTCTGAAGATGTTATTAGTCATAGATGCAGGCGAAACTTCAGAAGAGAATGCTAGACTACTGCAACGCTCTCTACGTGGGGTTGCCTTTGAAGACTGCCCGGAAGCTGCAGCAAGTCCAACGCGCGGCAGCCAGATTGCTAACGGGGGCTGGGTACAGGGAGCACACCACTCTGCTGTTACGCCAGCTCCACTGGCTGCCAATTAGCTTCCGAGCACAATTCAAAGTGCTGGTGTTGACCTATAAAGCCCTAAACGACTCCGGCCCTGTTTACCTCTCCGAACGTATTCTCCCCTACGAACCATCAAGATTATTAAGATCATCTGGAGAGGCCCTGCTCTCGGTCCCACCGGCCTCGCAAGCGCGCCTGGTGGGGACAAGGGACAGGGCCTTCTCGGTGGTGGCCCCGCGACTCTGGAACTCTCTCCCTCTGGAGGCCAGAACCGCCCCATCCATCCTAACATTTAGGAAACGGGTGAAGACGTGGCTGTGGAGTCAGGCCTTCGATGAATGAGACAACACCCCAGGACCCTGGATGGAAGTTGATGTAGATCCATCTTAATAGGACGACTGACCACTGTAGTTTTATATATAGTGTTTTTAAAGTTGTTTTTGTAATTGTGATATATGATATTTTAATGAGTGTATATGTTTTTTATGGCTGGAAACCGGGCTGAGTCCCTCAATGAGGTTGAGAAGCTCGGTATAGAAAACTGTGAAATAAATAAATAATAAATAAATAAATGAGTCGCCATTAGGCTGAGAATTGTGGTATATAAGCGAAGTAATAAATAAATAAATATTGGAACATAGCCATATAGCCTGAAACACTCACAGCAACCCTGTGATTCTGGCCATGAAAGCCTTGGACATTGGTTTCCAGGTGGAAGGCAGTCTCGGTTGGGGTTGGCTTGATTTGCCTTCCTCTTGGCACGTTTCTCTCTCCATTCGTGCCTCTTCAAACTCCACAGCACTGTTGGTCACAGCTGACCTCCAGCTGGAGTGCTCACAGGCCAGGGCTTCCCAGTTCTCAGTGTCAATGCCAGAGTTTTTAAGGTTGGCTTTGAGCCCATCCTTTTTAATCTCTTTTCCTGCCTGCCAACGTTCTGTTTTCCGTTCTTGAGTTCGGAATAGAGCAACTGCTTTGGGAGATAGTGGTCGGGCATCAGGACAACGTGGCCAGTCCAACGGAGTTGATGGCGGAAGATCGCTTCCATGCTGGTGGTCTTTGCTTCTCCCAGCACCCTGACAGAACGGTGGACATGATCTTCACTGCATCACAGCTCCGAGAAAAATGCAGGGGACAAAATCATCCTTTGTCCATGGCATTCATTGACCTTGCAAATATTTGACACAGTGAATCGCAGCGCTCTCTGGACCATCCTCCAGAAAATTGGGTGCCCTAACAAATATGTGAACATCCTGCGGCTCCTCGATGAGTACAACAGTCTTGGACAGCAATGGCTCCCAAAGTGAGCATTTAAGGTGGAATCAGGTGTCAAACAGGGATGTGTTATTGCCCCAACTCTATTCTCCATCTTCATCGCTATGGTACTTCACCTTGTTGATGGGAAGCTTCCCACCGAAGTGGAAATCATCTCTCGGACAGATGGCAAGCTATTCAACCTCAGCAGACTGAAAGCCAAAACCAAGGTTACAACAACATCTGTTATAGAACTCCAATATGGTATTTGAAAGAATGTCACGTTGTGGAATTAGCAAGATTGCCTTCTGCTGCTTTGGAGACTAGGACACAACCGATCCATGCATTCAGAGTTCAGGAAATGAGATTCTACCTCCACATTAGGAAGAACTTCCTGACGGCAAGAGCTGTGTGACAGAGGAAGGCTTGGATTGTATATCCCTGTTTGGCCAAAGGAGGTTAGATTAGATGGCCTTTGTGGTTTCCTCTAACTCTGTGATTCCTTTCAGTAGCTTCATCTGCTTGATAGATTGATAACTGACAAGTCCCAGGTTCAGGTCTTGCTGTGGATTCAAGCCCTTATTGGGTTGCAGTGGGGTTTTTTTGGGCTGTATGGCTATGTTCCAGTAGCATCGCCATGGCCATACAGCCTGAAAAGCTCACAGCAACCCAGTGATTCTGGCCATGAAAGCCTTCAACAACACAAGCCCTTATTGTTGTTATTCCTCCCTTTTTCCTTTCCGCAGGTAGCCTGCTGCCATGTATGCGGTCTACAAGCAGGCGCACCCTCCCACGGGGCTGGAGTTCTCCATGTACTGCAATTTCTTCTCCAACGCCGAGCGCAACTTGGTGGTGGCAGGGACCTCTCAGCTGTACGTTTACAGGCTCAACCATGACTCTGAGGTAGGCCTCTCTCTCTCTTTTCATTGTTGTGGGATGTGTTGGTACGTGAAGTGATTTATAGTTTCCAAATCGCGACCTCCCTGAATTACTGCAAGCTGGATAGCAAGTAAAATTACAGCAGAGTGAAGCACAAACATGCTTCAGCCCATGTTTCCACAGCCTCACTGCCAGCATCTGATCTGTTTAGTAAACTCACAGATTCAGGTTTTCATCCAAAATATACAGATGCTTTAATCTTCACTCTTGCAATATAACAGGGAATTTCTTAACAGTCTAAGAAATTCCCTTGAGTTCTTTTGAATGTCCTGCGAATTGCTTTTGCAAGAGCTACGAGAAGTAATAGGATACATTTGTTGACACCGAAGGGGAGAAGGGAAGGACCTTGTCTGTCAAATGCTGAAATCTGAAGTGCTGATTTTGTGTCATAGAAAGGGGATCTGTTTAAAATCTGGCATGGGCCAAATTTGGCCCTCGAGGTGTTTTGGACTTCAACTCCCACAACTTCCGACTGTTAGGAATTGTGGGAGTTGAAGTCCAAAACAACCCGAGGGCCCAAGTTGGCCCATGCCCGATTCAAAGGCAGCAAAGGCAACTGATATTTGATTAGAGAAGTTTCAAGCCAGAGCAGTGTGCCTCCATTGTGCGACTGCAGGACTGACGTTATCCTTCTCTTTTCTCTCTTAGTCTGCCACCAAAAGCGACAGGAGCACAGGTGAGTCCTAGGGTGCTGATAGTAATGGAGCAAATGGAGAGACTGCCTATTTTAGGAGGGTCTTTTGAGGCTGAGAACAACTCAGTCCGGAAAAGAGATGTGGGGTGCAGCAAATGGGTATCTTTGTTTTGGGACTGAAGAAGCACCAACTAGTATATAGAGCAACGTGGGACAGAGGAAACACTGTAGTGCTTGCCTGATCTCTTGTTTTCACCTTTGTTTCTTAGATCTGTGTAATTTTGCTTCTGACTGCGAGTAGCAGTCACTTTCTCCTTATATGCTAACTAGCCGTCCCCTGCCATGCGTTGCTGTGGCCCACATGGGGGTTCTGTGTGGGAGGCTTGGCCCAATTCTATCGTTGGTGGGATTCAGAATGCTCTGTGATTGTAGGTGAATAGACCTTGACATTTGGGAATTGTAGTTACTGGGATTTATAGTTCAGCTACAATCCAAGAGCATTCTGAACCCCACCAACGATAGAATTGGGCCAAACTTCCCACACAGAATCCCGAAGACCATCAGAAAAGACTGTGTATCTCCAGAGTCTTTGCCTCTCTCACCGCTGCTTTCTCTTGCTCAGAGGGCAAAAGTCACAAGGAGAAACTGGAGCTGGTGGCTGCCTTTTCCTTCTTCGGGAACGTCATGTCCATGGCCAGTGTCCAGCTTGCGGGAGCCAAGAGAGATGCCCTCCTCCTCAGCTTCAAAGATGCCAAGGTGGGTCTGTGCCTCTGGGGAGAAAGCAATGAGACGGGAAGCTTTCCTGGGAGACTTCTGGACAGGTAGACTGAGTCCAAAATCCTCCTCCCTGACGTTGCAAGTTGGTGGAGGGCTTTCATCAGGCGTGTGAAAAACTTGGGCCCTCCCTCCAGGTGTTTTGGAATTCAACTCCCACAATTCCTAACAGTCAAATTTGTGGTTTTTACTTTGAGTACTTTTTCTTCTTCTTTCTTTCTTTATTTATTTTTATCCCGCTTTTCTCCCACGGGTGGAACTCTAATCAGAGCATGCCATGGATTTTGATTATAAGGGTCTTTCTAGGAATCCCTCGGTCTGTCCACTCATGTGAAGTTTTTCAAAGTTTGCTGAGTTAGTTTTTCAAAGTTTGCCAAGGTTGACAGGCCTCCAGGTGGCACTACAGATTTATCCCATTCATGGTTGCATACGCCACATTTTAATCCATGGTTTGTTCTTGTGTTGAGTGTTAGAGTTACAAGCTGGGTAGATGCGGGGAATGCCATGGATGGAGCGTACCTGGATTTCAGGAAGGCCTTCGACAAGGTCCCCCATGACCTTCTGGCAAGGAAACTAGTCCAATGTGGGCTAGGCAAAACTACGGTGAGGTGGATCTGTAATTGGTTAAATGGACGAACCCAGAGGGTGCTCACCAATGCTTCCTCTTCGTCCTGGAAAGAAGTGATGAGCGGAGTGCCATCAGCAGGGTTCCGTCCTGGGCCCGGTCCTGATCAGGATCTTTATTAATGACTTAGATGAAGGTTTAGAAGGCAGGATCATCAAGTTTGCAGACAACACCAAATTGGGAGGGATAGTCAAGACTCCAGAGGACAGGAGCAGGATTCAAAACTATCTTGACAAATTAGAGAGATGATTGGCCAAAACTAACAACATGAAGTTCAACAGGGACAAATGCAAGATACTCCACTTTGGCAGGAAAAATGAAATGCAAAAATACCAAATGGGGAACGTGTGGCTCAAGATGTGGCGGCAAAAAAAGCCCAATTCAAAGTGCTGGTTTTGACCTATAAAGCTCTATACGGTTCTGGCCCAGCCTACTTGTCCGAACGCATTCACCCCTACATCCCATCTCGTAATCTAAGCTCATCCGGGGAGGCCTGCTTTTGCTCCCATCAATTGCACAAATGCGTCTGGCGGGGACGAGAGACAGGGCCTTCTCGTCGGTGGCCCCTTGCCTATGCAACAGACTCCCAAATGAGGTAAGATCTGCTCCCTCCCTCCTGGCTTTTAGAAAGAAATTAAAATCATGACTTCGGGACCAGGCCTTCGGACAGTAGATGTTTGTAGAGTTTAAAGGACATGGACTAGAATGACAATACGACTGGCGAGACTGTTATTATTTATTGTTTTAATGATTGCTTATGTACTGTCTAATTATGATATATGTTTAATTGTGGTTTTATTATTGTGGTTGTTATGGTTTGGCATCATGTCAGTGTCCAATGTATGGCACTGAAGTTTTGTCAGTTATGTGTAAACAGCTTTGAGTCCCCCGAGGGGTGAGAAAAGCAGCATAGAAGTACTGTAAATAAATAAATAAATAAATAAATAAATAAATAAATAAATAAATAAATAAGCCAATGGGATTTTGGCCTGCATCAAGAGGAACATAGTGCCTAGGTCCAGGAAAGTCATGCTCCCCATGCTCTATTCCGCTTTGGTTAAACCACACCTGGAATATTGTGTCCAATTCTGGGCACCACAATTCAAGAGAGATATTGAGAAAGTGGAAAGTGTCCAGAGGAGTTGTTGTAGGCTTTTTCAGGCTATATGGCCATGTTCTAGAGGCATTCTCTCCTGACGTTTCACCTGCATCTATGGCAAGCATCCTGCATCTATGGCAAGACCTCACTACCTCTGAGGATGCTTGCCATAGATGCAGGCGAAACGTCAGGAGAGAATGCCTCTAGAACATGTAGCCTGAAAAAACCTACAACAACCTAGTGATTTCAACCATGAAAGCCTTCGACAATACATTGTCCAGAGGAGGGCGACTAAAATGATCAAGGGTCTGGAGAACAAGCCCTATGAGGAGCGGCTTAAAGAGCTGGGCACGTTTAGCCCGAAGAAGAGAAGGCTGAGATGAGACAGGATGAGGGCTATGGATAAATATGTGAGGGAAAGTCACAGGGAGGAGGCAGCAAGCTTGTTTTCTGCTTCCTTGGAGACTAGGACGTAATGGAGCAATGGCTTCAAACTACAAGAAAGGAGATTCCATCTGAACATTAGGAAGAACTTCCTGACTGTGAGGGCCGTTCAGCAGTGGAACTCTCTGCCCCGGAGTGTGGTGGAGGCTCCCACTTTGGAAGCTTTCCAACAGAGGCTGGATGGCCATCTGTTAGGGGTGATTTGAATGCAATATTCCTGCTTCTTGGCAGAATGAGGTTGGACTGGATGGCCCATGAGGTCTCTTCCAACTCTAGGATTCTATAATTGGGCCAGGCCCTTGTTTAATTTCGACCCATTCTGCTTTATCCAGCTTGACAATGTCTTTGGAAAATGAGCTAATAGGAAGTTATTGGTGTTTTATGCTTGTAATGCTTTTTCCAGGGTTTTTATAATGTGTGTTAATTGCTTTTAACTTTGTTATAATATTGTTTATTTATTTATTTATTGTATTTGTATACCACCTTTCTCAGCCAATCGGCGACTCAAGGTGGTTTAATCGGCGACTCAAGGACGTTTGTTTACGTTCATTGTGACAGCGAAGCGCGCCAGTGTAAGTCGCCTTGAGTCGCCTTCGAGCTGAGAAAGGCAGCATAGAAATGCAATAAATAAATAAATGAATAAATAAATAATTTTTGCAGCTAGATTTTGCAAAAAATGGAGATGGAGATTCAGATGAACACTCCCTGTATTTGGTGGATACTGATCTCTGTCCTTCTTTCCCTTTCCTTCTGCCTCCCAGCTCTCCGTGGTGGAATACGACCCTGGCACCCATGACCTGAAAACACTTTCCCTTCATTACTTTGAGGAGCCAGAACTGAGGGTATGTCTTCGAACACACTGTGAATGAATCTCCCATTTTCCCTCCCCAAAATCAAGGGATACAGGCATAGGGTTGGAAGAGATCCCCAGTGTTGGGGTTCAGCCTGAGTTTGAACTTGAACCTGATTCTCTGTTTGTTCCTCCTGATGCTAATGAAAGTATATTTACTGATGCTAGTGGAAATGTACCTCTTGATGCCAATGCTCCTGAAATTAGTGAGGAAGAAACTGCTGTAGGTTTGGAAAATGCCAATGTTCCTGAAATTAGTGAGGAAGGAACTTCTGTAGATTTGGAAAATGAAAGTACCAGTGTTCATGAGAATGTTTCAGAGGGAGACCTTGAACTTTCCCTCCCTTCTGCACCTGTTAACTGTAATGACAACAGAAGGGGCCAAATTTGGGAAGACAGAAGTAAATCACTCAGTTTGCGTCGATCCTCCCGAATTCAAGAATTAAAAACATTGGCTTCAAAAAAGAAGGGCGGTTCACGGAACCAATTCTTGAGTTTTAATTGCAATACGCCGGGCTGATTGTCTCAGTTCAGGCATCGTTTCAGAATTGATGAAGACCTTGGCAGTTCTCCCGGTTCCCTGGCCATAGTTTGGGAAGATTTCTAGGATATCAAGTACGGTTAGTGGATTGCTAACAGGTTCCAGTATTTCACAGTGAGGCTTTTGGTTTTGCTTTGTCCATTTAAATTCATGTTTGCTGATTTTGCTGTGGCTTTTGACTTGCATTTTTCCTTTATTTTGTAACCATTTTTCTTCAATAAAAAATGATTGTTTTTCACAGCCAAGTGTGCCTCGTTCCCTGCTCTGGATTGCAACACCCAGGTCCAACCTTCAGTCCTCAGAAAAACACCATCCAAGCCGGATGATGTGCGCTATTCACGCCTCACAGTTTGTTTTCTCTCTCCTTCAGGATGGCTTTGTGCAAAATGTCCACATCCCCAAAGTGCGGGTGGACCCCGATGGCCGGTGCGCGGTTATGCTCATCTACGGCACGCGACTGGTGGTGCTGCCCTTCCGGAGGGACACGCTGACCGATGAGCACGAAGGTGTCGTGGGAGAAGGGTAAGTGCAACATAATTGAAAGTGTTGCGTTGAATCAATTTGTTGCGCAGTAGCAATGTCCAGCATGACCAAAAAACCCAATGCCAAAGACACAGACCAGTCAGAAGAAATAAACAGTAGATCTTTACTCTTGGTTGCAGAGTTGAAAATAAAACAGTTTGGTACACTTACATTGTCTCTGTAAGCAATACAGAACATTTGTTCTGTGTGATAAATTATAGAGCATAACAAAAGTACATAGTTTCTTCACCATTGCATAAGCTTCTTGCATTTGCTCTCCAGCAAGTCAAACAGCAAAAACTGCTAACAGTTTACAAAAGCCTCAAACTATAACATTCAAGAGGCGTGGCCCAGCCATGCTGAGCTGGGCTAGTTAACTGCAGCTGCAGTTAACCATCAATACTTTGCAAGGATTTCTGCAAGGCTTTCTTTAACACACACACACTGGACTTAAAGCAATATACCGTAATAGAAAGGACGTCCAAAGTAGTCCAAAGGGTGATGTTGGGAGGGTTCTGGGTGCAGACGACGAGGTGTTTATGTCAGTCGGGTTGATGCTCTAAGTCTGAGAGTAATGTGGCATCACAAGGAAGTCAGTGGTTAAGGAGAACATGGGCTTTATTCTAAAGGATTTGGGGCATATATGAGAGAGAGAGAGCGCCGTGGAAAACAAATCTCGATGTCCTGTGGTTCCTACACATTTGCGAGTTTGACTTCTGATTATTCACTGATTTGATTAAAATGTTCACTCTAGGAATGTCTCTTTTTGTGAGCAGAAAGTAGCAAGCTGCACTCCTAAAGGGAAAACCGTAATCAAATCTGCAAAGAACTAAATCTGCAAATAAGGAGGGTGGACTTTATAGTACAGGCAGCCCCCAAGTTACAAACATCTGGCTTAAAATGACTCATAGTTAAGAACAGGGGTGAGACAACAGGAAGTGAGAGGAATGTACTCCTCAGAAGGGAAATTCTTTCCTGAAATAATTATTATCATGGGAAAAAGGAGTCTCCACGGAAGCTTAATCCGCAATCCTTGTTTCAGCACAATCCAACATTTCCAAAATCCAGTTATCACAGAGACAGAAAACGAGGCAAAATCTCACATGACCTCTGAGGTGTCTGTGGACAACGCCGACTCTTTGGCTTTGAAATGGAGATGAGCACCAGGGTCGGACACGACTAGACTTAATGTCAGGGGAAACCTTTACCTTATGCACTGAATATGTTTGAATGGTTTTTCACTGTGAATTTTTAACACTGTTTATGTTTAATTCTGTTTTAATGTTTGTATATTTGTATATTTTACATTTATGCAAAGCAGCTCTTGAGTCTCCTTTGGGGAGATAAAGCAGGATATAAATAAGCATACCACTAATAATAATAATATATTTTTTTGTACTTGCTGTTTTTAAAAAAATTATTGGGTTGTGTCACGTAATTGTGAACCGCCTTGGGTCCCCATGGAGAGAAAGGCGGGGTAGAAATAAAATAAAACATTGAGAAAGTATTGGCTTTGTAGCAAACTGCTTTAGGTGTAGAAGATGCGGTTTGCTGCATATAATGCTGCTTTCAGTGCAAAAACCTACACCTGACTTTTGCGTTGCATAACTTCTGAACCGTGAAGGATCAACTCTCTCCCTTATTGAGAAAAATCCATTTTTTCACTCCTTTATGCAAGTATGTTCAAATCTTCTCGCTGTCCCCAGCCTCCACAGAAGAGAGTGATGTCCTGAGCCACTGAAAAGGGCTTCTCCTTTGGGAGTCTGGCCTCTGCAGGGCATGGGATCCTGCCCCCCTTTCCCTTTCAGGCCTCTGTGGTTGATTCCCATTGCCTTTCCTTGCAGCCAGAAGTCCAGTTTCCTTCCCAGCTACATCATCGACGTGCGGGAGCTGGACGAGAAGCTGCTCAACATCATTGACATGCAGTTCCTCTACGGCTACTACGAGCCCACCCTCCTCATCCTCTTCGAGCCCAACCAGACCTGGCCTGGGTATGTCTTGTCTTAAGCAGATGAGGGGGAAAAGGAAAGGGCCTGAGACCATCAGGAATTGTAGAAATCCAAAATACCTGGAGGGGCCAAAATTTGCCCATGCCTGGTCTATAGCATTGAACCAAGGCAATTAAAGTGCATTCATTATACAGCATAGAAACACCCCAAGTTTTCCTTTCCCATTGCTCAAAGCTTTGGTGCTTGGAACACTTTAGTTTTTAAGGAAGACAGTCTAAGAGTGCAGCAAATATAAGTGTTCAAATTGCAAAGAGTGCACTTTTGGCCTCTGCGCATGACATTCGGTAGCGTTTTGGGTTTCAGCGTTTTGAAAACTGAAGTAAGCATCAGATTCAACGGTGCATTAGACTCGAATCTAATATGGGTATTGATTATTTTATGTATGTATTTGGAACACTTTAGCTTTTAATGAAGACTGTCTAAGAGTGCATCAAATACAGTGTTCAAATTGCAAAGAGTGCACTTTTGGCTTCTGCGCATTACATTTGGCAGTAAATACATTTTTGGGTTTCAGCGTTTTGAAAACTGAAGTGAGCATCAGATTCAACGGTGCATTAGACTCGAGTCTAATATGGGTATTGATTATTTTATGTATGTATTTATTTATTTATTTACAGTATTTATATTCCGCCCTTCTCACCCCGCAGGGGATTCAGGGTGGATTACAATGTACACAGATATGGCAAATATTCGATGCCAATTAGACATACAACGTATATAGACATACACAGAGGCTATTTAACTTTTTCTGGTCACCAGGGGAGCTGTCGCTTTCATCATCCATCTGTGACACTGATGAAGTACTTCTGCATTCCCCGCATGTTTTGCTGGAGTGCTTTTTTGCTGGAGTCTTTTTTATGGCCTCACAAGTTAGTTAAATTAGCCTCCCCACACATAGGTGGTACCTAATTTTCCTACTTGACAGATGCAACTGTCTTTCGGGTTACAAAGGTCGACAACAAGCTACACAATTGGTCGGACACTCACTCCGACCTGGGCTGGCTTCGAATTCATGACCTTTTGGTCAGAGTGATCTTAATGCAGCTGACACTCAGCCAGCTGCACCACAATATTATTACTATTACTATTATTTTACTGACACAAAAACACAGTATATCTGTTACAGTGCTAGGGCTCTGCCTTTACAGAGGCAGAGATGAACCAAACAAAAATCCAGTTTGTATAAAACAATTTAATTAAAACAGCACTTACTTTCTGGCTGTTTTAATAGTCCAAAATATAAAACATAAAGGTTGCACTCAGCCACAGAATATAAAACAAAAACAGGAAACACTGTTGCAGGTTCAAGATAACTCCATAGTCAAAAGGTCCAGTCCAGGGGTAAAACGCCAAGAGTTCAATAAACAAAGTTCGGGGATCAAGAATCTATACCAGGGGTCCTCAAACTTTTCAAACAGAGGGCCAGTTCACAGTCCCTCAAACTGATGGAGGGCCAGATTATAATTTGAAAAAAAGCATGAATGAATTCCTATGCACACTGCACACATTTTATTTGTAGTGCAAAAGACACTGAAAAAGGAAACAATAATTAAAATGAGGAACAATTTTAACAAATATAAACTTATTAGTATTTCAGTGAGAAGTGTGGGCCTTCTTTTGAGATAGGATTGTTGTTGTTGTTGTTGTTGTTGTTGTTGTTGTGTGCTTTCAAGGTTGACCCTGAGCGAGGTTGACCCTGAGCGAGGGCTGGGTAAATGACCTTGGAGGGCCACATCTGGTCCCCGGGCCTTAGTTTGAGGACCCCTGGTCTATACCGTAGTCAAAAGCCAGTCCAAAGGTTCAGGAGACAGGCCAGGACACCAAAAATCCACAAACCTGGGGGAAAACCAGCAGCATCTACCACCAAGATAAGACAAATACTTTTCTCCCAAAAATCAGTCCCAAGGCTCGCTCCTTATATCCAGAAACACCCAGCTGCAACCCTTCTCTTGCATACCTCCACCCTTAATTGCTTTCACCCATTTACTTACGGATTACTCAACCCTTTAGAACGGGGGTCCTCAAACTTTTTAAACAGAGGGCAAGGTCACAGTCCCTCAAACTGTTGGAGGACCGGATTATAATTTGAAAAAAAAACCATGAATGAATTCCTATGCACACTGCACGTTTCTTTTTTGTAGTGCAAAAAACACTTAAAAACAATACAATAATTAAAATGAAGAAATTTTTTAACAAATATAAACTTATTAGTATTTCAATGGGAAGTGTGGACCTGCTTTTGGCTGATGAGATAGGATTGTTGTTGTGTGCTTTCAAGTCATTTCAGACTTAGGTTGACCCTGAGTGAGGGCCGAGTAAATGACCTTGGAGGGCCATATCTGGCCCCAGGCCTTAGTTTGAGAACCGCTGCTTTAGAACTAAGACTTACATTAACCCATCCATCACCAACTGCTAGGCCTACCACCACCAACCACTGCAGAACATGATACATGACAATGTCACAGCAAATGAGATATATATGCTAGATTTCGTATCACAGAATCACAAGTTGAACACTTTCCAAGTGTCTAGGACTGTTTACTTTTACTACTATTATTATTATTATCATTATTATTTGCCACACTCATCTTGCGTGATAGTGTTTGTTACTATTGTTGCTGTTGCTGTTGTTGTTGTCCTGGATGGGATGCTTTCGCAGCTCCTGGACGGAATCCTTGAATGTGCTGACTTTTAAAGAAAATTCAAACATTGGGAGCCTTTGAGGGAACCTCAACGCCTTTGTGGATTTACGGAAAATACAAGCCACACTTTTTGTGTTGGAAGAGAAACTGAGGCATCAATAAACTCCCAAATTGTCTATTAAAAAAAAAAATCCAATATTTTCAGGATTTAAACGTGGGGCAATTGACAACAACTCTGCAAAAAAATTATCTTTGCCAAGGAGCATTGCTTAGTTAGCTTTCTGAGAATTACGTCATGGATCTTTCTTTCCTTCTTCCTTGCAGGCGTGTTGCCGTGCGCCAGGACACTTGCAGCATTGTGGCCATCTCCCTGAACATCATGCAGAAGGTCCACCCGGTCATCTGGTCCCTGAGCAACCTGCCCTTTGATTGCACACAGGCCCTTGCTGTGCCCAAGCCCATCGGTGAGAGGAAGGACACTTTTGGGGATGTGCTCTGGAGAAAGAGGGCTGTTGTTGTTGTTATATGTATTTACGCCCTGCTTTTTCTCTGCCAAAGTGTTGTGTGTGGTTAAACTGTAGTGGTAAACTTCGACAGATTTCCCATTTTCTGCTCAAGGGACCATCTGAGAGCTGCAGAGATGCTTCCAGAAGAAGCAAAAAAACTCTCCCAAAACTAGAAATTATTGAGTTACCTTCCTGTTTTGAAAAAATCAAAATAATAATAATAAATATTCCCAGAAATAACAGCCGAAAATAATGTAAAAAATCAAAATAATAATAATAAATATTCCTCCAAAATAATCACAGAGAATAATGTAAAAAATCTAAACAATAATAATAAATATTCCTTAAAATAATTGTGGAAAATAATGTAAAAAATCAAAATAATAATAAAAATATTCTTCAAAATAATCACCAAAAATAATGTAAAAAATCAAAATTATAATAAAAAGTATTTCCCCAAAATAATAGCCGAAAATAATGTAAAAAATCAAAATAATAATAAAAATATTCCTCAAAATAATTGCTGAAAATAATGTAAAAAATCAAAATAATAATAATAAATATTCCTCAACGTAATTGCCAAAAATAATGTAAAAAATCAAAATAATAATAATAATAATCCCCCAAAATAATAGCCGAAAATAATGTAAAAAATTAAAATAATAAACAATTCCTCAAAATAATTGCCAAAAATAATGTAAAATATCAAAATAATAATAATAATAAATATTTTCCCAAAATAATAGCCGAAAATAATGTAAAAAATCAAAATAATAATAAAAAATATTTCCCCAAAATAATAGCGAAAATAATGTAAAAAATCAAAATAATAAAAAAAAATATTCCCCTAAATAATCACAAAAAATAATGTAAAAAAATCAAAATAATAATAAAAAAATATTCCCCCCAAATAATCACCGAAAATAATGTAAAAAAAACCAGAATGTATTTAGATATGAAAAAAAGCATCATTTGCCTTCTAGCAATGTGGAATAGATACAAGGAAGGGATGGATCAGAAAATCCTCTGGAGACAGTGTTAAAAACCAACATACAATGAGGAACTGAGAACTTATAGGGAATATCTAAGGGCCCTTCTACACAGTCATATAACCCAGAATATCAAGGCAGATAATCCACAATATCGGCTTTGAACTGGATTATCTGAGTCTACATTGCCATATAATCCAGTTCAGTGTGGATTTTATACAGCTGTGTGGAAGAGGGATAACTGAAGACACTGCTAGGTTGGCAGAAGCTGGGGCTAACAGCGGGAGCTCATCCCATCCCGCTGATTCGAACTGCTAACCTTTCGATCAGCAAGTTCAGCAGCTTAGCAGTTTAACCCATTGCACCACTGCATCCCCTTTATTCTCCTCTTTCCTTCCTTTTTTCCAGGTGGTGTTGTAATCTTTGCAGTGAACTCATTGTTGTACCTGAACCAGAGCGTGCCGCCTTATGGAGTGTCCCTCAACAGCCTCACCAACGGCACCACCGTCTTCCCATTAAGTATGCTCAATTTTAATATTGCAGAATCATTGAATCCTAGAGTTCGAAGGAACCCCCAAAGGCCATCCAATCCACCCCCTTTCTGCCAAAACTACATTTCCCAGAATGCAGTGCTCAGCATCACATAGCCCCAATGAGGGCTGCAGAAGCCAGCCATTTCAAGTCAGTGTAAATAAAAATGTAATATTCGTTTGTGAGATTAACAGAACTCAAAAACCACTGGATGAATTGACACCAAATTTGGACACTACACCCTTAACAGACCAACGAGTGACCATCACTCATAACCCCCCCCCCCCAAAAAAAAAGCAGCAGAAAGGACTTAAAAATCCCAAAAAGCTAAATGACAATACAGATGTAGATGCCTGGCTTACTAACCATGGAGCCCTTCCTCTGCAGAGAGCAGGGACGCACCTCTCTCAAGCGCTGCCTTCGAGCCCAACTCTTTTCCGGCCTATGTCTAGAGGGAAGGAATGAAGGAGGGAAAGGGAGAAGGAAGGAAGGAGAGAAGGCAGGAGGGAAAGAAGAAAAGAAAGACAAAAATAGAGAAGGAAAGAAAGAGGTAGAAAAGGAAGGAAGGAGAGAATGAGGGAGGGAAAGAAAAAGGGGTACACAGGAAAGAGGTAGAGAAGGAAGGAAGGAGAGAAAAAAAGAAAAGGAAGGAAGGAGAGAGGGAAGAAGGAGAGAAAGAGGGAAGGAAGGAAAGTAAGAAAGGGAGAAGGAAGGATGGAACCAAAGAGTGAAGGAAGGAATGAAGGAGGTAAAGAAGGAAAGAAGGAGAGAATGAGGGAGGGAAAGAAAAAGGGGGGATGCAGGAAAAAGGTAGAGAAGGAAGGAAGGAGAGGGGGAAAGAAAAAAGAGAAGGAAGGAAAAGAGAGAGAATGAAGGAGAGAAGGAAGGAAGGAAGGAAAGAAAGGGGAAAGGAAGGATGGAACCAAAGAGTGAAGGAAGGAAGTAAAGAAGGAAGCAGGAGAGAATGAGGAGGAAAAAAAGAGGGAGAGGAAAGAGTAGAGAAGGAAGGAAGGAGAGAAGGAGAGAAAAGAAGGAAGGAAGGAAGGAAGGAAGGAAGGAAGGAAGGAAGGAAGGAAGGAAGGAAGGGGAAGGAAGGATGGAACCAAAGAGTGAAGGAAGGAAGGAAGGAGACAATGAAGGAGGGAAAGAAAAAGAGGGTATGCAGGAAAAAGGTAGAGAAAAGAAGGAAGGAGAGAAGTAAATTAAAAAGAGAAGGAAGGAAAAGAGAGAGAAGGAAGGAGAGAAGGAAGGAAGGAAAGAAAGAAAGGAAGAAAGAAAGGAAGGGGGAAGGAAGGATGGAGCTAAAGTGAAGGAAGGAAGGAATGAAGGAGATAAAGAAGGAAGGAAGGAGAGAATGAGGGAGGGAAAGAAAAAGAGGGTATGCAGGAAAAAGGTAGAGAAAGAAGGAAGGAGAAGGATTAGCACAATGCTAATCTGAAAATGAATGGGCTTCCCATAATCTTGGCTAAAATCGGGGAATGTTCTCTGACCAGTGATGGACAAAGCTCTTGTCTTGTCCGGCTTCTTTGGGCTTGGCTAATTGCCGTTCTTCTCTCATCTTGCAGGGATCCAAGAAGGGGTGAAAATCACTTTGGACTGCGCTCAGGCTGCCTTCATCTCCTACGACAAGATGGTGATCTCCTTGAAAGGAGGGGAGATGTAAGTCTTCTTGTCATTTCTATGGATGGAGTTGTTTCTGGCAGCATTGGCATAGAATGCTGGCACGTGATGTGATTTATAGTTTCCAAATCATGACCACCCTGAACTGCTGCAAGCTGCACAACAAGTGTCCCAAAAGCAAGCAAAATACACAGCAGAGTCCTTTCACAGGAAAACATGTATCAGCAGAGTCCAACTCAGAGCATCTGGCCTTATCTACACACTGTTTAGTAAACTCACAGATTCAGGGTTTCATCCAAAATATCTGGAGGCTTTAATCTTCATATATACAAATGTACAAACAAGATTTGCAGATCTTCATTCCTTGAACTTGCAAACAATCAGAGTCATCAGATAGTCACATACAACATAGGCAGATACTCGCACTGAGTCACACAGGAGAGAAAAAGATGGATTCTTTCCTCCTCCTTACATAGCCACCTATTGACAGGTCATCTGTAAGGGACTCTGGCTGATGCAACCCCTTTGCAATAACCCTCACATGGTTATGACTCAGCCATTGCCACATCATGGCATTCACAGTCATACCCAGGTGCTATCAATATATCACAACTTCATCAAACAGTATGCTGGTCGCTTCTGTGGCAAGAGAATCAGCCATCTATGAAAACGTTGCCCAAGGGACGCCCGGATGTCTTGCAATCCTGCAAGGAGGCTTCTCTCATGCCCCCCCCCCCCACCTCCCTGAAGCTCTAGGTGCCCTTACTGCCTATTACAGGGAAAACCAGCTGATCCCCAACCCATGTGCCTTTCATCTCAAGAACAGAGAAGCATCCCGAGCTCTGAGGATAATTACCTGGGAAGGCATCCCATTGCAGCGCACCCAAATACCTGGGAGTCACCCTGGACCGTGCTCTGACCTACAAGAAGCACTGCCTGAACATCAAGCAAAAAGTGGGCGCGAGAAACAATATCATACGAAAGCTGACTGGCACAACCTGGGGATCACAACCAGACACAGTGAAGACATCTGCCCTTGCGCTATGCTACTCTGCTGCTGGGTATGCATGCCCAGTGTGGAACACATCTCACCACGCTAAAACAGTGGATGTGGCTCTTAATGAGACATGCCGCATTATCATGGGGTGTCTGCGCCCGACACCACTGGAGAAATTACACTGCTTAGCCGGTATTGCACCACCTGACATCCACCGGAAAGTAGCAGCCAATAGAGAAAGGACCAAGGCAGAGACATCTCCAGCTCCAGTTTGGGTATCAGCCAGCATGTCAACGAATTAAATCTAGACATAGTTTTCTAAGATCTACAGAGACACTCACTGGAACACCTCAGCAAGCCAGAGTCCAAAAGTGGCAGGCTCAAACCCAGAACCTCAATCCATGGCTGCTACTAAATGAGAGACTCCCCCCTGGGCACACAGAGGACTGGGCAACTTGGAAGGCGCTGAACAGACAGCGCTCTGGCACCACGAGATGCAGAGCCAACCTCAAGAAATGGGGCCACAAAGTGGAGTCCACGACATGCGAGTGTGGAGAAGAGCAAACCACTGACCACCTGCTGCAATGCAACCTGAGCCCTGCCACATGCACAAGGGAGGACCTTCTTGCGGCAACACCAGAGGCACTCCAAGGGGCCAGAGACTGGTCAAAGGACATTTAATCAACTACCAAGCTCACAAATGTTGTATTTTGTCTGTTTGTTTACTTTGTTTTGTTAGAAATGTAATATAATTGACTGGCTGCCCTGACACGACAAATAAATTTTAAAAAATCAAACAGTATTTCATTCTATGATTAGAAATGCTGTCCCATTTCTATCTCGCAATATTTTAGCCATGAGATGTATTCTTGTAAAACTGAGTCAGAACTCAACAGACAACAAGTCATTCTCGTCCGGATAGAGTTTCCCTTCCGCCCAGTGGCTGCCATCGGTGACTTTCTTTCTTTTCCTTTCCTTTCCGCAGCTACGTGCTGACCCTCATCACCGATGGCATGCGGAGTGTCCGATCCTTCCATTTTGACAAGGCAGCTGCCAGTGTCCTCACCACTTGTGTAAGTTGGCAGGGTTTTTTTTTTTTGCAAGGCCTGGTTAAGCCTCAAACGGCAGCAGAAGTACAAATGTGACCCGTTTGGCAGAGTCATTGCATACACAAGTGGCAAATCAAATGGGGTAAATGTGATAGAAAACTGCACTGTCCTGATTTAGGGAGATGCCTAGCTCTAAAGCAAACATGGGCAAACGTCAACCCTGTTGGAATTCAGCCTGTGATCGTGTTTCAGGATCAAGGTGCTTTGGATGTGGGAAGTGATACCAATGAATTTCAAGATGGCAATGGTTTGGTCAATGATACTGATGCAGAGAAGGACCAGGAGAACCCTGTTTTTGTTTTTGTTTTTTGTTTGTTTTGTTTTTGTCGTGTCAGGAGCAACCTAAGAAACTGCAAGTTGCTTCTGGTGTGAGAGAACTGGCCGTCTGCAAGGACATTGCCCAGGGGATGCCTGGATGATTTTTTGATGTTTTATCATCCTTGTGGGAGGCTTCTCTCATGTCCCAGTATGAGGAGCTGGAGCTGATAGAGGGAGCTCATCCACCTCTCCCCAGATTCGAACCTGCAACCTGTCGGTCTTCAGTCCTGCCGGCACAGGGGTTTAACCCACTGTGCCACCCTGTTCAAAGTGTAGTTTCCCATGAGAATATCTCTGAAGGGTGTGGGGATGATGGCGTACTCCCTGAATTGCTGAGTTCCCAGGATTTGGAGCTTGAAAACAACTGGGCACCTGGCCCAGCTGCAAAACTTAATGAGCAGATACATAGGAGGCAGGAGATTAGTCAAAATAGGCAGACCGAACAGTGGCTTCGGTGGTCTGCCAGGATCCGACAGAAAAAGATAAGGGAATCTCAATTTCTGAGTGCTTGGAACAGTTTAATGAGGGGATAAAAGTTCCAACTATGGGCATTATAGTCAGATGAAGCATCATTGGGAATCAAATGTAGTTCTCGTCCTTTGTTTTATGGAAGCTTTGCTTGGAAGATTCTTGTCTCAGTATTTCTTGTTTCATGGTTTGGATTCTTGGGTTGTATGAATGCCGACTCATGCCTTGGATTAATGTTTCCTGTTTTCCTGAATTATATTAGAGAAGTGTGGACTTTGTTTATATGGACTTTGCTGAACTTTACCCTGGACTATTTTTGCTCCTGTTTATCTTCTTACTTAATTGGATTTACCTATTTCTTTAAAGTGCTTTTTACTTACTGCTTCTCAATTATCATCAATAAAAGGATTGTTTTCCAATCAACGGTGTGGTGTTTACAGTCAGAGGGCTTTTCCTGTTCTGTAGTGCAACAGACCCTTCAGGTGTTTCGGACTTCAACTCCCACAGTCCCTAACAATTGCTTTGTCTCAACTCCCTCCTTCTCTTTCCCTCATCATTTTCTCTGTCTTGGATCCTAGATGATCACCATGGATCCAGGCTACCTCTTCCTGGGATCACGGCTGGGCAACTCCCTCCTTCTCAGGTACACCGAGAAACTGCAGGAGCCCCCCGTAAACACAGCTAAGGACGCTACGGAGAAAGCGGTAAGGTTACAGAGGAATATATATGTGTGTGTGCATGTGTGTGTGTATTCTCTTTCTGCTCAGGACAGAAAAAATGTGTAAAGGTTGTTGAAGGCTTCCATGGCCAGAATCACTGGGTTGTTGTAGGTTTTTTCAGGCTATATGGCCATGGTCTAGAGGCATTTTTTCCTAACGTTTTGCCTGCATCTATGGCAAGCATCCTCAGAGGTAGTGAGGTCTGTTGGAACTAGGAAAAAGGGTTTATATATCTGTGGAATGACCAGGGTGGGACAAAGGACTTTTGTCTGCTGGAGCTAGGTGTGAATGTTTCAACTGACCACCTTGATTAGCATTTAATGGCTTGGAAGTGCCTGGGGGGAATCTTTTGTTGAGAGTGATTTGATGTGCCTGATTGTTTACTCTCTGTTGTTTTCAGTGGCTACTCTGTGTAGTCTGACATGGTGGTTATGAGAGTGGTCCAGGATTTCTGTGTTCTCAAATAATATGCTGTGTCCAGGTTGGTTCATCGGGTGCTCTGCTATGGCTGACTTCTCTGGTTGAAGTAATCTGCAGTGCCTTCATGTCAGACTATACAGGGAAGCCATTGAAATCCACAAGCATGTGGACAATTTCAACAGAAAGGAAGAAACCATGAAAATGAACAAAATCTGGCTACCAGTATTAAAAAAACTCAAAAATTACAACAGCAAAACAACAGAGAGTAAACAATCAGGCACATCAAATCACCTCTCAACAAAAGATTCCCCCAGGCACTTCCAAGTCATTAAATGCTAATGCAGTGTAATTTCTCCAGTGGTGTAGGGCGCAGACACCCCGTGATAATGCGGCATGTCTCATTAAGAGCCACATCCACTGTTTTAGCGTGGTGAGATGTGTTCCACACCGGGCATGCGTACTCAGCAGCAGAGTAGCATAGCGCAAGGGCAGATGTCTTCACTGTGTCTGGTTGTGATCCCCAGGTTGTGCCAGTCAGCTTTCGTATGTTATTGTTTCTAGCACCCACTTTTTGCTTGATGTTCAGGCAGTGCTTCTTGTAGGTAAGAGCACGGTCCAGAGTGACTCCCAGGTATTTGGGTGCGCTGCAATGCTCCAGTGGGATTCCTTCCCAGGTGATCTTCAGAGCTCGGGATGCTTCTCTGTTCTTGAGATGAAAGGCACATGTCTGTGTTTTAGATGGGTTGGGGATCAGCTGGTTTTCCCTGTAATAGGCAGTAAGAGCACCTAGAGCTTCGGAAAGCTTCTGTTCTACCATCTCAAAGCTCCCTGCTTGAGCGGTAATGGCACGATCATCAGCATAGATGAAACTCTCTGAATGTGAAGTGAAACTATCTGAAGTGAATAGTGATCTGGTTGGAAACTCTTCTTTTCTCAAAGGCAGGAGCAGGACTGGGGTGTACCCAAGGCAAGCAGATGTTGTGTGGGATCGGTCAGATCCAAAGGCTTAAGAGAGCCCTTATTGACGTGATTTCCTTCTACTTGCAGGAAGAGCCTCCTGTCAAGAAGAAACGTGTGGAGCAGCAGGCAAACTGGCCAGGTAAGAGGCTCTTTGCTCAGTCACAGGACGCCCTGGTCCTTTGTCCCACCCTGGTCATTCCACAGATATATAAACCCTTTTTCCTAGTTCCAACAGACCTCACTACCTCTGAGGATGCTTGCCATAGATGCAGGCAAAACGTCAGGAGAGAATGCCTCTAGAACATGGCCATATAGCCCGAAAAAACCTACAACAACCCACTTCTAGATCTCTTTCTCATGAACTGTTTTCAAGCCAGATGTCTCCCATCCTATATGTGTGCATTTCATTTTTTCTGCCTAAGTGTGGCACTTTATATTTCTCCCTAATGAAATTAAGTTGATTGGTTTTGTCCCAGCTCTCTGATCTGTTACACTAATGTCCTAATTCGCAGGGGGAAAGTCCGCTCCTCAGGACGAGGTGGATGAGATCGAGGTGTACGGCAGCGAAGCCCAGTCTGGAACCCAACTTTCCACTTACTCTTTTGAGGTATTGTCTTGTGGGCAAGGTAAAGATACTGTTGCAACCCAGAGCAGGAATCGAGACCATAAGATAACAACCACCACACTTGACTGTGGGAAAAACAATCCCTTTTATTGATGAAAAATTGTTACAAAATAGAGGAAAATGCAAAGTCAAAAAGCCACAGTATTTTTGACTTTGATTTATTTATTATTTACAGTATTTCCATTCCTCCCTTCTCACCCCACAGGGGTCTCAGAGCGGATTACAATGTACACATATATGGCAAACATTCAAATGCCAAAGACACACAACACATATAGACAGACAGTCAGAGGCTATTTAACTTTTTTCTGGTTGCCAGGAGAGCTGTCGCTTTCATCGTTCATCTGCGACACTGATGAAGTACTTCTGCTTTCCCCGCATGCTTTGCTGGAGTCTTTTTTATGGCCTCGTAAATTTTGTTAAATTAGCCTCCCCACACATGGGTGGTACCTAATTTTCCTACTTGACAGATGCAACCGTCTTTTGGGTTGCAAAGGTCGACAACAAGCTATACAATTGGTTGGAAGCTCACTCCAACCCGGGCTGGGTTCGAACTCATGAACTTTTGGTCAGAAATGATCTTAATGCAGCTGACACTCAGCCAGCTGCACCACAATCCCAGCACAGAAGGCATATAATGGCAGTGTGGCAGTGTGGACTCAGATAATCCAGTTCAAAGCAGATATTGTGGATTATCTGCCTTGATATTCTGGGTTGTATGGCTGTGTGGAAGGGCCCTCAATCCACCAGCCCTCAAACTAACACAGGTTTACTATAACCTATATCCAACACTCTCAGCACCTGTTGCAACCCAGAGCAGGAAACGAGACCCTAAGATAACAATCCACCACACTTGACTGTGGGAAAAAAAATCCCTTTTTATTGATGAAAAATGGTTACAAAATAGAGGAAAATGCAAAGTCAAAAAGCCACAGTAAAATTCAGCAGTCAAGAATATCCATGAATTAGGTCAAAATTCCAAAAGCAACACTGTAAAAACCTGGAACCTGTTAGCAATTCACTAACCGTACTTGGAACACTAGAAGCCTCTTGGGATGTAGGCCACGGGAAACAGGGAAATCTGCCAAGGTAATGCCTCAGTCTAAACGATGCCTGATCTAACGAGACAACCCAGCGAGAGGCACTTAAAACTGAAGAAACTGTTTCGTGACATGCCTCCAGGCTTTGAAGCCTGTGTTTCCTTTTCCCTTAATCTGCTTGACCTTCGCAGACTCTGCGATTCACTCCTGTTTTTCCAAATCTGTCCTTTTCTATCCTCATTAAGGAAGCCAGGTGTTAGCTCCTCTGGAGAGTTATCTCCGCTTGGCTCTGCAACATTCTCATCAGAATGTGTAGTTTCACTTTCCAAGCCACTGACCTCAGAATCAACATTTTCATTACCATCAGGGAGAAATACATTTTCAGTAGCATCAGGAAATACAATCAGAGAATCAGGTTCAGGTTCAGCAATCAGGTTCACACGCAGGTTGAACCCCAACAGCACCAGACCCCAATTTCAATGACTCCTGTGGTTAGATCTGACACTGATCCTGTTGTGTAACTTACTTACAAGACCCTAATTTCTGTATGCATTTAATGATTTCACTTCCGACTCTTCCAGGTGTGCGACAGCATCCTGAACATTGGTCCTTGTGCCAATGCCGCCATGGGTGAACCTGCTTTTCTATCTGAGGAGGTATGGATGCTGCATTCCTTGACACTCTGGGTTGTTGAAGGTTTTTCAGACTCCATGGCCATGTTCTAGAAGCATTCTCTCCTGATGTTTCACTTGCATCTGTAGCAGGCATCCTCAGAGGTTGTGAGGACCTCTGAGTACTATTTCATTAACCAGGTGAATGCTTCTCTGGGAATCTGTAGGTCTTCCACATGGTTTTGTGCTCGATTTCAACTGGAAGCTGACCACTGGAGGACCTGGAGAGAACATATTTTAATCAAATCTGTGAATATTTAGATCCTCCAAAGTCAAACACACGCATATGGGGAGCCTAACAATCTTCTTCCCACAATAAGAAAGTCTTTGAAAATTACCATTCAAAGCCTGTTCACAATTCAAGGCTTAATCTGGGCAAAATTCACATGAGGTTGTTTAGTGCATAAGTTAGCTCTTTATATACAGCATTGGTTTGCAACTTGTGGTCCACGGACCACCAGTGGTCCACAAGAACTAAAATATGGTCCGCAGCCTCACTGTTACTACACAGTTGCAACAAGAGTGACTGGTCTCTGGAAACTCGCTTATAGTGCCGAGGCTTATTAAATATTTTATTTATTTATTTATTTATTATTCAAACTTATATGCCGCCACTCCCCTGGGGCTCGGAGCAGCTTACAAGAACAGGCTAAAATCTAACACAATTTAAAAACAACAATATCAAAGATCAAAGGCCTGTCGAAACAGATATGTCTTACATGCCCTGCGGAAAGCTGATAGGTCCCGCAAGGCACGGACTTCAGGTGGCAGAGTATTCCAGAGTGATGGTGCCACTGCTGTGAAGGCTCTGCGTCTGGTTGCTGTTAGACGCAAGGTCTTGACACTGGGAATTTCCAATAGATCTTGGTCCTCAGAACGGAGGGATCTCTGGGGTTGGTAGGGGGTGAGGCGGTCCCTCAGGTACATCGGCCCCAGACCATGCAAGGCCTTAAAGGTGAGTACCATCCCTTTGAAAGTGATCCGGTGCTCAATTGGTAACCAATGCAGCTGTAGTAAGATTGGTGTTATGTGGCATCTCATCGGAATTCCTGCAAGAAGCCGAGCAGCTGCATTTTGTACCAACTTGAGCTTCCGGATCACCGACAGAGGAAGGCCAATGTAGAGGGCGTTACAGTAGTCCAGTCTTGAGATGACCGTGGCCTGGATCACCGTAGCTAGGTCGTCCCTGGACAGGGAGGGGGCCAGCCGTCTAGCCTGCCGCAGGGGAAAGAAGGCGGTTCTGCTCACGGCGGAGACCTGGGCCTCCATCCTCAGCAGAGGGTCCAAAAGGACTCCCAGGCTCTTGACCAACGATGACGGGCGTAGCGCCTCGCCATCCAGGGTAGGCAGCTGGATGTCCCCACTGCCTGGTTGACCCAGCCAGAGGATCTCCGTCTTTGCTGGATTCACTCTCAACCTGCTGGCACGCAGCCATCCAGTCACGGCCTCGAGGCACTGATGGAAATAATCAGGTACAGAGTCCAGTCGGCCTTCCATCTTCAGCACCAGCTGAGTGTCATCAGCGTACTGGTAACACTCCAGCCCAAAACCTCAAACCAGCTGAGCAAGTGGTCGCATACAGATGTTAAATAACAGATGATAAATGGTGCTCTGTGGGCAAGAAGATGGTGACTGGTGGGTGGCATATGTTCTGTATCAGAAACTAGAGCTGATGTGGTCTATCCATTGCAATTTTCTGAATCAGCACCCCCAAATAACCTAACCAAATCTATAAATAACCAAATCTAAAGTTGACCAAAGACTGATTCGTAGCCCTTTTGGTACTAACGTTGGAGAGTGGTCCCTGGTCAAAGTGGTCCCTGGTTAAAAAAAAAAAAAGTTGGGAACCACTGATATACAGGAAACTGGAGGTAGTAAATTCCTATAGGAGAATATTATATTTTGCACCAAAAATGTTTTTCCTGCGTGTATTCCCCAGTAACAGGAATTTCTATACAGGAAAGTACTTTCTCCGCACTTGAACTAATATTACTTCTGCACAGAAAAAGGGCTTTGCATCAGTCTAGGATTCTATTCGTTTTTGTTTCTTGTCACTTTCTTTTCCCCAACATTTTCCCAGACATTCTGTCCATCTGCTTACAGCTGTTGTCTTGTTTGTTGTCCCTTTCAGTTCCAGAACAGCCTTGAGCCTGACCTGGAAATTGTGGTCTGCTCCGGCTACGGCAAGAACGGTGCCCTTTCGGTCCTGCAGGTGAGTGGAGGGCATCCATGAGAATGACACTGGTGTGCAGTGTGCACTGGACTCTTCTCACTGCCACAGGCTTTTGCGCAATGAGTTCTGACAGGTGTTTCTTCAACCTGAAGCAGAGTTTCTCACCTCAAACCTTCAAGCAGTATTATAGTATTGTCTATAGCAGTGTTTCTCAACCTTCCTAATGCCCTGACCCCATAATACAGTTCCTCACGTATTCCCCAACCATAACATTATTTTCATTGCTACTTCATAACTGTTATAACTGCACCGGGACTGTGGCGCAGCTGGCTGAGTGGGGAAGGAGCTCTCCCAGCCCACCAAAAACCTTTGCTTCTGCTTCCAGGTCAGGGGCCTCTCTTGAAGCCCCCCCCCCCCCCCAAGAGACTGGCTAGACCCACCTCCTTCCAGCAGCCGGATGCCCAGGGGGGAGACCTGCACAATGTAGCGGTTCTCCCCAATGTTCCCTGCGTAGACCGTGGGGCCCTGGGTGGCAAAGCCGCTCGTGTCCAGCTCCATGATCTCCTGGCCGGTCTGCAGGATCTGAGGAAGGCAGAAAACACAACCGTTAAGGAAGGAGGGAGGGAAGGAAGGAAGGAAGGAAGGAAATATGAGGAGAGGGAAGGAAGGACAATGAGGAGAGAAGGGAAGGAAAGGTAATGAGGAGAGGAGGGAAGGAAGGAGGGAAGGAAAGAGGGAGGAAGGGAAGGAAGGAAAATGAGGAGAGGAAAGAAGGAAGGAAAGATAAAGAGGATAGGAAGGAAGGAAAGGGAAGGGAAGAGGAAGGAACAAGGAAGAGAAAATAATAACAATACTACTATTACTATTACTACTAGTACTACTACTGCATCAGGATTGTGGCGCAGCTGTCTGAGTGTCAGCTGCATTAAGATCACTTCTGACCAAAAGGTCATGAGTTCGAAGCCAGCCCGGGGAGTGAGCTTCCGACCAATTGTGTAGCTTGTTGTCGACCTTTGCAACCCGAAAGACAGTTGAATCTGTCAAGTAGGAAAATTAGGTACCACCTATGTGTGGGGAGGCTAATTTAACTAATTTACGAGGCCATAAAAAGCCAGCAAAAGCATGCGGGGAATGCGGAAGTATTTCATCCGTGTCACAGATGGATGATGAAAGCGACAGCTCCCCTGGCGGCCAGAAAAAGTTAAATAGCCTCTGACTGTCTGTCTATATGTGTTGTGTGTCTTTGGCATTGAATGTTTGCCATATATGTGTACATTGTAATCCGCCCTGAGTCCCCCGTGAGGTGAGAAGGGCGGAATATAAATACTGTAAATAAAATAAATAAATAAAAATTGCTACTGTTATGAATCATAATGTAAATATCTGATATGCAGGATGTATTTTCAGACACTGGATGAAACTTGGCCCGATACGCCCAAATTTGAATACTGCTAGGGTTGGGGTGAGATTGACTTCGTCATTTGGGACTTGTAGTTGCTTTATAGTTAACCTACAATCAAAGAGCTGGCTGTTAGGATTGTGGAAGTTGAATTCCAAAACACCCGGAAGGCCCAGGTTTGCCTATGTCTGTGCTAGAATCCCGATTTCCCTCTCTTCCCAACAGAAAAGCATCCGGCCGCAGGTAGTGACCACTTTTGAACTCCCTGGCTGCTATGACATGTGGACGGTGATTGCGCCCCAGAAGACGGAAGCCCCAGTGGTGCGTATGGCTTAGAATAATAATACTATTTTATCCTATTTGAGTCTCCTACTTGCATTCTCTATTTGTGTGCCGGGTTCATTTTACTCCATATAATGGTAGTAAATATGCAAAGGGTTTTTGCTCAATTTTGGCTCAAATTCGGGTAAACATGATGCTGTATATTTTCTTCAGTCACTTTGAAAAGCAGGTGAATTCATCAAAGCTCCTCCAGTCTCCATCTATATAAATAAAAATGTAATGTTAGTTTGTGGGATTAACATAACTCAAAAACCACAGGGCAAATGGACACCAAATTTGGACACAACACCCCTATCAGGCCAACGTGTGACCATCACTCATGAAAACACTGAAAAACACAGTGGAAGAGACTTAAAAAGCAATAAAATAAAATACATTACAACGCATGCACAAAACCCCATATATACACATAGACACATACATATACACACAAAACATATATACACAGACTGGGCCACAGCAACGCATGGCAGGAGATGGTTAGTGAAAACATAAATTGTATATTCTATGTAGGTAATGTATTGGTTCTGCAGATATACACAACATACACAGTCAACCCTCCACATTCGCTGGGATTGGGGGCACAAGTTCCCTGTGAAAGTGAAAAACCACAAATAAAACATGCCTTTTTATGCTGAGAAGACCACTTTAGGAGTCTCTGGGTTCTTCAAGCATGAATCCATGTTCAGTTTCTGGTAGAAAGTGACTGGAGTCACACTGGAGGACCTGTAGATTCCTATAAACCACATTTTAATCAAATCTGAATAATCAAATCTGCAAATGTGGAGAGCAGTTTGGGGAGAGCAAAGACCACTAAACCTGTCTATATTTTGCAGCTCTGCTTTGTGACCAAATACCCCAAGAAACATACATTTTTAATTTCTCCTTGTTTGCAAGGTGGTGTGGTTCAGCGTGATTCTGGGCCTGAGATGTTCTCTGATGATGAGGGTGATGGGATTCAGATTCCTGGCTCTTTTTCTGTGCCTCAGATCCCAGGGCCTGCTCCTAGGTCTTTTTCTGAGACTCCCACAGACAGTGCAGAGTCAACACAGTGGTTCTCAGAAGAAAGGAATGTTAACGAAGTAGATAGCGAACAGGTGGAGAGGCCTTTGCCTTCCCACGCTGATAGTGAAAGTGCAGAAAGCCTTGATAGTGACCTGACCCGGCAAGCCCGTCTTGATTTGCGGGTCAGGAGGAGTTCTCGCCTAGCCAGCAGACGAGAAGCCAGCTTGGGGAAAGGTCATTGCAATGCTTTCATGTTGATGAGAGCATAATGTTTTCATGTTAGAAAAGGGTATTTAGGCTTCTTGCAAACGAAGGGAAAGTGTCCAATTGTCAGGGGTGATTTGAATGCAATATTCCTGCTTCTTGGCAGGGGGTTGGACTGGATGGCTCATGAGGTCTTTTCCAACTCTTTGATTCTATGATTCTATGATTCGCCTCTGTCTTGTAGTTTTCCAGGCCTCATTCCTTAGAATGGTATCTTCAGCCCAATTGGGCCGCATTCATACGCCTTTCATACAATCTCACTCTCAAACCATACAGCATATTTTATCATGACACCTTCCTCATTTTCTGTCGACTTATCCATCTTAATATCCCAAGCAGATAAAGCTCATTTTCATTATATTTCATTGTGTTTTCTATCAATGCAGCAGGAGGAAGATGCTCAGGGGGAAAACACAGAGAAGGAGCCGTCTCCGCCAGAGCCGCCAGACGATGGGAAGAGGCACGGGTTCCTCATCCTGAGCCGGGAGGACTCCACCATGGTGAGTTGCCAAGCGGTCACATGGCTTAGAGTCCAGGCATGGGCAAACTTGGGCCCTTCAGGTGTTTTGGACTTCAACTCCCACAATTCCTAACAGCCAATATGCTGTAAGTACAGGCAAGAGCAAACGTTGGCCCTCCCTCCAGGTGTTTTGGACTTCAGTTCCTACTGGCTGCTAGGAATTGTGGTAGTTTAAGTCCAAAACACCTGGAGGAGGGCTGAAGTTTGCCCTTACCTGGCTTAGTCTCACATCCATTGAATGTGGCCCAACACCTTCCTTCCCTCCCCACCTCATTATCTTTCCTTCCTTCCCTTCTCACCTCATTGTCCTTTCTTTCCTCCCTCCTCTTCCTTCCTCTTCCTTCCTTCCCTCCTCCCTCCCTCCCTCCCTCCCTCCCTCCCTCCCTCCCTCCCTCCCTCCCTCCCTCCCTCCCTCCTTCCTTCCCTCCTCACCTCATTATCTTTCCTTCCTTCCCTTCTCTCCTCATTTTCCTCTTCCTTCCTTCCTTCCTTCCTTCCTTCCTTCCTTCCTTCCTTCCTTCCTTCCTTCCTTCCTCCCCCCTCCCTCCCTCCCTCCCTCCCTCAACTTTCCTTCCTTCCTTCCCTTCTCTCCTCATTTGTCCTTTCTTTCTTCTCTCCTCTTCTCATTTTCCTTCCTTCCTTCCCTCCCTCCCTCCCTTTTTCCTTCCCTCCTCACCTCATTATCTTTCTTTCCTTCCCTTCTCTCCTCATTGTCCTTTCTTTCCTCCCTCCCCTTCTCATTTTCCTTCCTTCCCTCCCTCCCTCTTTCCCTCCCTCCTTCCTTCCCTCTCCTCATTATCTTTCCTTCCTTCTCTTCTCTCCTCATTGTCCTTTCTTTCCTCCCTCCCTTTCTAATTTTCCTTCCCTCCCTCTTTCCTTCCCTCCTTCCTTCCTTCCTCTCCTCACTATCTTTCCTTCCTTCTCTTCTCTCCTCATTGTCCTTTCTTTCCTCCCTCCCCTTCTCATTTTCCTTCCTTCCTTCCTTCCCTCCCTCCCTCGTTTCTTCCCTCCTCATCTCATTATCTTTCCTTCCTTCCCTTCTCTCCTCATTGTCCTTTCTTTCTTCTCTCCTCATTTTCCTTCCTTCCTTCCCTCCCTCCTTCCCTCCCTTCTCTCCTCATTGTCCTTTCCTTCCTCCCTCCTCATTTTCCTTCCCTCCCTCCCTCCTCTCCTCATTAACTTTCCTTCCTTCCTTCCCTTCTCTCCTCATTTGTCCTTTCTTTCTTCTCTCCTCTTCTCCTCCCTCCCTCTTTCCCTCCCTCCTTCCTTCCCTCTCCTCATTATCTTTCCTTCCTTCTCTTCTCTCCTCATTGTCCTTTCTTTCCTCCCTCCCTTTCTAATTTTCCTTCCCTCCCTCCCTCTTTCCCTCCCTCCTTCCTTCCCTCTCCTCATTATCTTTCCTTCCTTCTCTTCTCTCCTCATTGTCCTTTCTTTCCTCCCTCCCTTTCTAATTTTCCTTCCCTCCCTCTTTCCTTCCCTCCTTCCTTCCTTCCTCTCCTCATTATCTTTCCTTCCTTCTCTTCTCTCCTCATTGTCCTTTCTTTCCTCCCTCCTCTTCTCATTTTCCTTCCTTCCTTCCCTCCCTCCCTCGTTTCTTCCCTCCTCACCTCATTATTTCCTTCCTTCCCTTCTCTCCTCATTGTCCTTTCTTTCTTCTCTCCTCATTTTCCTTCCTTCCTTCCCTCCCTCCTTCCCTCCCTTCTCTCCTCATTGTCCTTTCCTTCCTCCCTCCTCATTTTCCTTCCCTCCCTCCCTCCTCTCCTCATTAACTTTCCTTCCTTCCTTCCCTTCTCTCCTCATTTGTCCTTTCTTTCTTCTCTCCTCTTCTCATTTTCCTTCCTTCCTTCCCTCCCTTCCCTCCCTTTTTCCTTCCCTCCTCACCTCATTATCTTTCTTTCCTTCCCTTCTCTCCTCATTGTCCTTTCTTTCCTCCCTCCCCTTCTCATTTTCCTTCCTTCCCTCCCTCCCTCCCTCCCTCCCTCCCTCCCTCCTTCCTTCCCTCTCCTCATTATCTTTCCTTCCTTCTCTTCTCTCCTCATTGTCCTTTCTTTCCTCCCTCCCTTTCTAATTTTCCTTCCCTCCCTCTTTCCTTCCCTCCTTCCTTCCTTCCTCTCCTCATTATCTTTCCTTCCTTCTCTTCTCTCCTCATTGTCCTTTCTTTCCTCCCTCCTCTTCTCATTTTCCTTCCTTCCTTCCCTCCCTCCCTCGTTTCTTCCCTCCTCACCTCATTATCTTTCCTTCTTCCCTTCTCTCCTCATTGTCTTCTTCTCTCTCCTCTTCTCATTTCTTCCTTCCTTCCCTCCCTCCTTCCCTCCCTTCTCTCCTCATTGTCCTTTCCTTCCTCCCTCCTCATTTTCCTTCCCTCCCTCCCTCCTCTCCTCATTAACTTTCCTTCCTTCCTTCCCTTCTCTCCTCATTTGTCCTTTCTTTCTTCTCTCCTCTTCTCATTTTCCTTCCTTCCTTCCCTCCCTCCCTCCCTTTTTCCTTCCCTCCTCACCTCATTATCTTTCTTTCCTTCCCTTCTCTCCTCATTTGTCCTTTCTTTCTTCTCTCCTCTTCTCATTTTCCTTCCTTCCTTCCCTCCCTCCCTCCCTTTTTCCTTCCCTCCTCACCTCATTATCTTTCTTTCCTTCCCTTCTCTCCTCATTGTCCTTTCTTTCCTCCCTCCCCTTCTCATTTTCCTTCCTTCCCTCCCTCCCTCCCTCCCTCCCTCCCTCCCTCCTTCCTTCCCTCTCCTCATTATCTTTCCTTCTCTCTCTTCCTTTCTTTCCTCTCCCTTTCTTTCCTTCCCTTCTTTCCTTCCTTCACTCCTTCCTTCCTTCCTCTCTCATATCTTTCCTTCCTTCCCTTCTCTCCTCATTGTCCTTCCTTCCTTCCTCCCCTCCTTCCTTAATGGTTGTGTTCTCTGCCTCCCCCAGATCCTGCAGACCGGCCAGGAGATCATGGAGCTGGACACGAGCGGCTTTGCCACCCAGGGCCCCACGGTCTATGCAGGGAACATTGGGGAGAACCGCTACATTGTGCAGGTCTCCCCCCTGGGCATCCGGCTGCTGGAAGGAGGTGGGTCTAGCCAGTCTCTTGGGGGGGGGGGGGGCTTCAAGAGAGGCCCATGACCTGGAAGCAGAAGCAAAGGTTTTTGGTGGACTGGGAGAACTGCTTCCCCATGTGGATTTATTATATTATGTAACACCATTTTTCTTCCTGGGTTATAATTGTCATTTCCTATACAAGTGTTGCTGCTTCTTCAGCTTCTAACACTGGTCTCACGGCCAATCATGGTCTGATGGAGGTAATCCATGACCCCTGTCTTCTGTCCTCCCAGTGAATCAGCTGCACTTCATCCCCGTGGATTTGGGCTCCCCCATCGTCCAGTGCGCTGTGGCCGATCCCTACGTGGTCATCATGAGCTCCGAGGGGCAGGTCACCATGTTCGTACTGAAGAGTGATACCTATGGCGGCCGGACCCACCGTCTCACCTTGCAGAAGCCCCAGTTGCACCATGTGAGTAAGGGCGGCGGACACATAGCTGAATATACCTATAAAATCCCGTATTAAAACATAGTTAAAATCCCATATTAAAAAAACATAGTTAAAATGCAACAGTAAAAGCATATAGTAAAACATACACATATTAAAATACATGAGATAAAAGGTAAAACACAATAGTGTTCCCTCACTTATTGCGTGTGTTACGTTACTGTCGCAGCTCAGGATAGATTTACCTTGCTCAGAACAACACCACACTCCAAGGCTGTAGGTTTTGTAGTTTATTGAAGCAAAAGCAAAATCATAAACATAGAAATAAGGTTTTACAAGTTCAATAGCCAAAACAGAGTCTTAAATGCAAAGGCAGAGTTTTCAAGGTCCAGAGGCAAATAACATGAAGTATAATCCACAAGCATGGGTCAAACCAGAATCTGTGGCAGCTTAACAAAGTCCCCAGAAGCCAAGATAAAAACCAAAGAGCCAAAGCTTTCCCAAAAGCCGAGGCAATTCCAGAGAAGTTAACAGGGTGTAAGCAAAGTTGCACTGACAAAGGATTGCCTTCAATCAGATGTTTCCCTAGCATGAAAGCATTACGTTGACCTCAAACTTCCCGTTTGTTGGCAAGCTGAGCACTTCAGCGTACCCTTAATTGCAAATGGTCCTCCCTAATCAAATCCCCATCACCTTCAAGGCTGGATAACTCATTATCCTGGGACTGGTCACCCTGGGAACCGAGAGGCACTGAGCTCCCAGATGGAGCGGCCGACTCCTCCACCTGCAGCTGTAAAGTTTCACTTAGATCATGATCTAAAACAACATTCCTTTCTCTGGGAAACAGAAATGACATCTCTTCTTCAGAATCAACACTGTCTGCCTCAACCACAGGGACATGTTCAGAAATCTGTAACCCATCATCCTCCTCGTCCTGAGGAAACTCAGGCTCAGAAAGCACAAGCCCAAAGTGAGCCACAACAGTTACCCACAAAAAGTGAAAATCTTTTTGAGGGAGAGAGTTCAGAGGTTGGGGCAGAAGTGAGGAGAGATTTAAAGGCACTGCGCGCCTTTATCTTTTTGCTAGCTATCTTATTTGCTTTGCAATTTCTTTTGATTGGCTGCCTCTCTCCTGAGGGGGAGAGTGAAGCCCCCTTCCACACTCCATCATTGCCAGGAGGCAATATTCTCGTTCTCTTTCATAGTTCTCGTTCATAAATCCAGCAGTTGACAATTGACCCCATTGTTGTTGTGAAAGAGTAATAAACAAATCCCAATCATTAAATATTTCTTCTTGATCAGCACCTTGGCTAGTTCCCATATATTCGCCAGCCTTTCTTCTTACATTGGGATAACCGGTTCCTTCCATCCCTGCACATAGACGATTCCGGATGCTGTTGTAATCTGTTGTCATCATCATCTTTCATGTTCATTTCTAGTTGATTGTCCAGCGTTCCCTACAGATAAAGCTCTGGTTTCATTGCAATGTTTGCCTTTACCATTTCTCCCAGCATCACATACATTTGAGCCTCATATATCTGGTTCCTGAGGCCTCTTGCTCTCCTTCCAGCAATCAAAGGTGATCGCGCTCTGCGTCTACCGGGACGTCAGTGGGATGTTCACCACTGAGAGCCATTCATCTGGATCCCGAGATGAATTCTCCATGAGGAGTCAGTCGGAATCGGAGGCTCCCATTCAGGATATCAGGTGAGGAAAGAGGCCATAAAAGAACCTCAGGCAAGCATGGGCCAAATTCAGTCCTCCAAGTGTTTTGGACTTCCAACTCCCACAATTCCTAACTGCCTACCGGATGGCCCAAGTTGACCCATGCCTGATCTACTGCCTGTTGGAGTTCAGCCTATGATTGTGTTTCAAGATCAAGGTGCTTTGTATATGGGGAATGATGTCAATGAGGTTCAAGATGGCAATTGATGCAGAGAATGACATAGAGACACCGGTTCAAAGTGTAGTTTCCCATGAGAATGTTCCTACAGGGTATAGGGATGATGGTTTACTCCCTGAATTGCTCCCAGAGAGTTCCCAGGATTTGGGGCTTGATAACAACTTGCGGGGAGTAATGAGCATATAGGCAGGCTGGTGGAAATTAGCCAAAACAGACAGCTCGACCAAGGCCTTCAGCGTTCTGTCAGACTTGAAGAGATAAGGATGAGAGGCATTCAGGGAAAACGAAACCAATTTCTGAGTGCTTGGAATGGCTTAACGAGGGGATATAAAGTTCCAAGCATGGGAAATATAGTCAGATGAAGCATCGTTTTAGAATCCTGCTCTTGGAAGCATTGCCTGGAAGATTCATGTTTAAGGATTTCTGGTTTATCAGCTTGACTCTTTGTCTCTTGTGATTACCTATTCATGCCTTGGATCAACGTTTCCTTGTTTCTTTGGATTTTATTAGAGATGTCTGGACTTTGTTTTTGAACTTTGCTGAACCATATCTTGGACTAATTTGTTCCTGCTTATCTTCTTACCTAATTGGATTTACCTATTCCCCTAAAGTGTTTTTTTTTAACTTTGCCGCTTTTACTTATCTTCAGTTAAAAAGGATTGTTTTCCTACTCAACGTGTGGTGTTTGGAAGTCAGAGGGTTATTCCTGTTCTGGAGGGCAACACCATCTCCCAGGCGTAACAGCTCCTCCCGCTTTCTTCCATCTCGCGCAGCAACACAGTGGACGATGAGGAAGAAATGCTCTACGGAGAATCCGGTTCCCTTTTCAGCCCCAACAAGGAGGAACCCCGCCGGTCAAGCCTGCCTTCAGCTGACAAGGACCCCCACCAGTACAAGGCGGAGCCCACCCACTGGTGTGTGCTGGTGCGGGAGAACGGGACCATGGAGGTGAGCCTCGCGCCCTTTCCTCAAAGTAGAGATAGACCCCCAGCATTTTAGAAGACACCCCAAGGGCCATTCAATCCAGCCCCCTTCTGCTAGTATCATGAATACAAAGGTTCTTCTTATTGCAATTTTCAGAGTGATAGTGTATATCAAAACTATTACAGAACAACATTGGACATATAGACATACAGATTCCATGTAACTACATTGGATTCACAAACAACCTACAATGACATTGTCTTTGACTTAGGTGATCCCTCATTGTCCGAGTAGGATAGTCTTCCGAGATCAGTGTACTGGTGGGTCCGTAGGTGACTGTGGAGCCCTATTCTTGATCCATATGTTCTTCCACAGTGATGACATCGGTTTCCAGATGGAAGGTGGTCCCAGTCAGGGATGGCTTGACACACCTCCCTCTTGGCACGTTTCTCTCTTTTGTCCTCCATTCATGCCTCTTCAAATTCTACAGCACTGCTGGTCACAGCTGACCTCCAGTTAGAGCACTCAACGGCCAGGGCTTCCCAGTTCTTAATGTCTATGCCAGAGTTTTTAAGGCTGGCTTTGAGCCTGTCTTTAAATCTCTTTTCCTGTCCACCAGCATTATGTTTTCCGTTCTTGAGTTCGGAGTAGAGCAACTGCTTTGGGAGACAGTGATCAGGTATTCGGAGGAGGAGCATCGCTTCAGTGCTGGTGGTCTTTGCTTCTCCCAGCACACTGACATTTGTCTGCCTGTCTTCCCAAGAGATTTGCCCGATTTTTTGGTGGCAACACTGATGGAATCGTTCCAGAAGTTGAGTGTGATGTCTGTAGGCAGTCCACGTTTCGCAGGCATATACCCACATGAACCCACACGATCCCTTCGTTCATCTGGAGAGGCCCTGCTCACGATCCCACCTGCATCGCAAGCGTGTTTGGTGGGGACGAGGGATAGGGCTTTTTCGGTGGTGGCCCCTCGACTCTGGAACTCTCTCCCTAAGGACATCAGGCAGGTCCCGTCGCTAGCAATCTTTAGGTGGAGCTTGAAAACATGGTTGTTCCAGTGTGCCTTTCCAGAATAAGGAAACTCCTAGCATTATGTCCCAACGCACTTTATCAGAGATCCAGGATATCTGCATGCCCACCCCCCTCCAAACACTCCACCTGGTCATGCAGATCGGTAGCCAGTGGAGTTGGCGCAGCAGGGGGGTTGTATGCTCCCTGCGCTCTGCTCCTGTTAGAATCATGGCTGCCGAGCATTGGACTAGTTGAAGCTTCCGAGCCGTCTTCAAAGGCAACCCCACATAGAGAGCGTTGCAGTAGTCTAAACGGGATGTAACCAGAGCATGGACTACCGTGGCCAAGTCAGACTTCCCAAGGTACGGGCGCAGCTGTATCTTACACTTAACTACTATATATCCCTTCCTTGTGCCTGTCTTTTCCCTTCCAGATCTACCAGCTGCCGGAGTGGCGCCTGGTCTTCCTGGTGAAGAACTTCCCCATGGGGCAGCGGGTGCTGGTGGACAGCTCCTTTGGGCAGCCGGCCAGCCAGGCCGAGGCCAAGAAGGAGGAGGTCATCCGCCAGACCGAGATGCCGCTGGTCAAGGAGGTGCTCCTGGTTGCCTTGGGAAACCGACAGAGCCGCCCATACCTACTGGTGAGCCCCAACAACCTCGTTTGGCTACCTGTTTGTGTCTCTTCATACATTTTGTTTCTGGCACTCAGGTCTGACACTTTCTAAGTGTCTAGCACTGTGTCTAGGGTGGCCTTTTGCAGCTGACAGGTGATGATTTTGTCAGCGCCGATTGTTTTTAAGTGCCGGCCAAAGTCTTTAGGTACTGCACCCAGTGTGCCAATTACCACTGGGACCACCCTTGACTGCTTGTGCCAGAGTCTTTGCATGATGATGATGATGATGATGATGATTATTATTATTATATTTATTTATATCCCCCTTTATCTCTCCCAAAGGGGACTCAAAGCGGCTTGACTTAAAAGCATTAGTATACAATTTTAAAATACACAATTATGCAAACATTAAAGTAGAATGAAACACAAACAACACAAAAAAATTCACCATTTCACAATTTTAATCAGTTTTAAGGGTTTTAATTGTTTATTTTTAATACTATTAATATTTAATTATATTTTAATGCTTGTGTATTTTCTTAGGTTTTAAATTGTATTGTGTTGGTTTTACTTTGCTTTGAGTCTCTTTTTAGAGAGAAAAGCAGGATATAAATAATAATCTATATAAAATAAAAATGTAATGTTCAATTAATCATAGAATCAAAGAGTTGGAAGAGACCTCCTGGGCCATCCAGTCCAACCCCATTCTGCCAAGAAGCAGGAATATTGCATTCAAAGCATCCCTGGCATTGATAACCCAAGAACAAAATAAAGGTATTACAGAGTGTTATCAGTTTTGTGTGTGTTTTTGTGGCCAGGTCCACGTGGATCAGGAGCTGCTCATCTACGAAGCCTTCAACCACGACTCCCAGCTGGGACAGACCAACCTCAAAGTCCGCTTCAAGAAAGTAAGAAGGGTCGCCACTTGAATCATGGCAAAAAATAATTATTTCCTTCCTTGCTGTTGTTCAATTTCCCTTTTCCCTTCCAAACCAGGTCCCTCACAATATTAACTTCCGGGAGAAGAAGCCCCGTCCGTCCAAGAAGAAGCCGGAGAGCGCAGGAGGAGATGAAGCGAGTGTCCCGAGGGGTCGGGTGGCCCGCTTCCGCTACTTCGAAGACATCTATGGTTACTCGGGGGTGAGTCTTGCATGGAGATGGGTCCTCTTGTGGATTTGGGATCGTCTACAGCAAGCATGGGCCAACTTCATCCCTCCTCCTCCTCCTTCCCTCCTCCGCTGGGAAGTAGCAGCCAATAATGAAAGGACAAAGACAGTGACATAATAATAATTATAATTATAATTATTATAATAATCTTTATTTAATACCCCGCCATCATCTCCCCAATGGGGACTCGGGGCGGCTTACATGAGGCCAAGCCCAACAGCATATTACAATAAAGTAAAACCAAAACACAATAACAACACAGTAAAATACATATGAGTACAAAAAACGATAAAACAAAATCATACACAATAAAATAAAATAACATAACTAACAATGAGCATGCCACATGTGCAAGATAAAAACGAAGATACTAAAAATACTAAAATCAGGATGAGATAGGGATGGAGCAGATTGTTTGTGAGGGAGAAACTCATAAAGGCACGGGGTCATAAATATACACCTTCATACAGGTGGGGAAATATACTCTGGGGACAAAAACAGTTGAGTGGGAGCAACTGTGTATGATGACATGGCTACTCTCCAAAGCGCCTCGGAAAAACATCTCTGGTCCATCCTCTGTTCGGATATCAACCAGCACGCCAATGCCTTAAATCAAGAAATAGTTTTCTAAGATCTACAGAGAGATTTGTAGGAACACCTCAGCAAGCAAGAGTCCAAAAGTGGCAGGCTCAAACACAGAATCTCAACCCATGGCTGATACTGAATGAGAGACTCTCCCCATGGCACAAAGAAGACTGAGCGGCTCCCCTTCCCTTCTGCTCCCTCACCCATATTGTGCTTCAGTAGTTATATTTATATTTTTAATGTACCAAACATACCAAGTTTGTATGAAAATGTGACTATTTCCTGTTCTGGTCAATGACCGAAATAAATGATTTGATTGAATGACTGAGCGGCTTGGAAGGCGCTGAACAGGCTGTGTTCTGGCACCATGAGATGCAGAGCCAATCTTAAGAAAAGGAAAGGGCCTGAGGCTGTTAGGAATTGTGGGAGTTGAAGTCCAAAACAGTAACTGTTCTACGAACTTCACAATCCTTGTCCATTGATTTCTGCCCCTTTTTATTCTACTTAAATAATACTTTGCAACTAATCATCCAATATATATATATATATTGATATTTGCTTCCATTGGTCCTTGAAAAAGGGATCAATCCCACTCTCTCTTAAAGTTAGGAATGTGGGAGTTGAAGTCCAAAACACCTAGAGGGAGGGCCCAAGTTGGCCCATGCCGGGATATACGGTCCCTGCGTGTCAGTCGTGGATGTCACGTGTGTTTTTGTTCCTCCCAGGTGTTCATCTGTGGGCCTTCTCCCCACTGGCTGCTGGTAACCTCTCGGGGGGCCCTGCGCCTGCACCCCATGACCATCGATGGCCCCATCGAGTCCTTTGCCCCCTTCCACAACGTCAACTGCCCCAAAGGTTTCCTCTACTTCAACCGACAGGTACGTCTGGTTTGGGTGGTGGGTCCCGCCCGGGGTTGTCACCGTTTAAGAGGCAAGCCTCTTTTTCCTTTCTTTTTTCCTTCTGTCTTTCCCTCCTTCCCCTTCTTACTTTGTTCTTGCATTTCATCCCTCCCTCCCCTTCTTAATTCCTTCTCTTTCTCTCCTTCTTTCTCTTTCTTTCTTCAGTTCTTCCTTCATTCTCCCCTTCTTCTCTCACCTTCCTTTATTCCTTCCTTCCTCTCTGGTCTATTTTCTTCCATTTCCATCCCTCCCATTGCTGTTTTCTTCATTCCCTCCTGTTCTTTCTCTTTCTTTCCTTCCTTCCTTCCTTCCTTCCTTCCTTCCTTCCTTCCTTCCTTCCTTCCTTCCTTCCTTCCTTCCTTCCTTTTCTCCCTTGCCTTATTATTTTCTTCCTTCTCTTTCTCCCATTTCCTTCCTTTCCTACACCAATTTTTCCCTTCCTTCCTTCTTTCCCCCTCTTCCCTTCCTTCCTTCCTTCCTTCCTTCCTTCCTTGCCTTACTATTTTCTTCCTTCCTTCTCTCTCTCCCATTTCCTTCCTTCCCTACACCACTTTTTCCCCTTCCATCCTTCCCTCCTCTTCCCTCCTTCCCTCCCTCCTTATTTCCCCTCTCTTGCCTTTGAGCTGCGTTGAGGGCCCCCTTGCACACTGGGAAGGGGGTGTTCCACTGTTTACCTGGGGATTGCCTGGGCTGTGTGCCGCTTGCCAACTTCCCTCTCCTTGGCCCCTTCTGCCCCTCATGTGCCACTTCAGGGGGAGCTGCGCATCAGCGTCTTGCCCGCCTACCTTTCCTACGATGCGCCTTGGCCGGTCCGGAAGATCCCTCTCCGCTGCACGGTGCATTACGTCTCATACCACGTGGAGTCCAAGGTCAGTCTATATGTGGCGTGTGCGTGTGTTGTGGATCAGCACGCACAGGGGTCTGGATTTGTGGACCTGGCCCTCAAACATCCTCCAGAGTGTGCCAACGTCCTTCCAGCCTCCGTCTCCCTCCGGTACGTGAACGAATGTGGTTTTCTTGGCAGGTCTATGCCGTGGCCACCAGCATCAACAACGCTTGCACACGTATCCCTCGCATGACGGGGGAGGAGAAGGAGTTTGAGACCATCGAGCGAGGTGCGTGCACTGAACCAGCTGTTAGGAATTGTGGGAGTTGAGGTCCAAAACACCTGGAGGGCCCAAGTTGGCCTCCTCTGTCCTTATAGTCTTTATCAGTCTCTTCAAATTATATGGCTCTGAACAGCTGTCTTTCCTAACAGTCTACTTCTAAGGGACTCGAACTTCCAATACTAATTTCTGTACTGAGTCAAACCGCAACTGTCATCCTTTTAAACTGCATTCTGAACAGTCACTGAACCAGTTACATGGTCTGCAGCCCCTTCCACTGCCTCAAGTATATAGAGCTAAGGAAACTGCAAACCAAAGAAGACATACATTTCAGGAAATCAAAGACACATTATAAACAGACAAAACATTAAATAGAGGAGGCTTGAGAAGGTTACCATCCCCATCATCATCATCATCATCGTCATCATCATCATCATCATCATTAGAACCATAGAATCCTAGAGTTTGAAGAGACCCCAAAAGCCATCGGTCTGATACCATTTTCCCAAAACACTATCGTCCTTTTTTTTTGTCGTCATGTCAGGAGTGACTTGAGAAACTGCAAGTCGCTTCTGGTGTGAGAGAATTGGCCGTCTGCAAGGACGTTGCCCAGGGGATGCCTGGATGATTTGATGTTTTATCATCCTTGTGGGAGGCTTCTCTCATGTCCCCGCATGAGGAGCTGGAGCTGATAGAGGGAGCTCATCCACTTCTCCCCGGATTCGAACCTATCCAGACTTTGATGATGATGATGATGATGATTATTGAGCCACGGAGGTGCAGTGGGTGCCAGCTGAACTGCTGACCTGAAGGTTGGGTTGCTGCTGACCTGAAGGTTGCTGGTTTGAATCCGCAAGACAGGGTGACCTCCCGTCTATTCCCAACATTATTATCAGAACCATAATAATAATAATCAACTACCAAGCTTGCAAACTTTGTGTTTTGTCTGTTTGTTTGTTTTGTTAAAAATGTAATACAAATGTCTGGTTGCTCCTGACACGATAAATAAATAAACAAACAAACCAGAACCATAAATCCTAGAGTTCAAAGAGACCCCCAAAAGCCATCAGTCAGATTATATTCTTCCAAGATATTATCCTCCTGACAGGTGGCCATCCAGACTTTGATGATGATGATGATTATTATTATTATATATTGAGCAATGGGTTAAACCCTTGTGCCGGCTGAACTGCTGACCTGAAGGTTGGGTTGCTGCCAACCTGAAGGTTGCCGGATTGAATCCGCAAGACAGGGTGAGCTCCCGTCTATTCCCAACATTATTAATATTATTATTATTATTATTATTATTATTATTATTATTATTATTATCAGAACCATACAATTCTAGAGTTCAAAGAGACCCCAAAAGCCATAAGTCAGATTACATTCTTCCAAGATATTATCCTCCTGACAGATGGCCATTCAGACTTTGATGATGATGATGATGATTATTATTATTATTATTGAGCCACAGAGGTGCAATGGGTTAAACCCTTGAGCCGGCTGAACTGCTGACCCAAAGGTTGGGTTGCTGCTGACCTGGAGGTTGCTGCTTTGAATCCGCGAGACAGGGTGACCTCCCATCTATTCCCAACATTATTATTATTATTCTCAGAACCATACAATCCTAGAGTTCAAAGAGACCCCAAAAAGCCATCAGTCAGATTACATTCTTCCAAAATATTATCCTCCTGACAGATGGCCATCCAGATTTTGATTGTTGTTGTTGTTGTTGTTATTATTATTGAGCCGCAGAGGTGTAATGGGTTAAATCCTTGTGCCGGCTGAACTGCTGACCTGAAGGTTGGGTTGCTGCTGACCTGAAGGTTACTGGTTTGAATCCGCAAGGCAGGGTGACCTCCCGTCTATTCCCAACATTATTATTATTATTCTCAGAACCATACAATCCTAGAGTTCAAAGAGACCCCAAAAGCCATCAGTCAGATTACATTCTTCCAAGATATTATCCTCCTGACAGATGGCCATCCAGATTTTGATTGTTGTTGTTGTTCTTCTTCTTCTTTTTATTATTATTATTATTATTATTATTATTATTATTATTGAGCCGCAGAGGTGCAATGGGTTAAACCCTTGTGCCGGCTGAACTGCTGACCCGACATTATTATTATTCTCAGAACCATACAATCCTAGAGTTCAAAGAGACCCCAAAAAGCCATAAGTCAGATTACATTCTTCCAAAATATTATCCTCCTGACAGATGGCCATCCAGATTTTGATTGTTGTTGTTGTTGTTGTTGTTATTATTGAGCCGCAGAGGTGTAATGGGTTAAATCCTTGTGCCGGCTGAACTGCTGACCTGAAGGTTGGGTTGCTGCTGACCTGAAGGTTGCTGGTTTGAATCCGCAAGGCAGGGTGACCTCCCGTCTATTCCCAACGTTATTATTATTATCAGAACCATACAATCCTAGAGTTCAAAGAGACCCCAAAAGCCATCAGTCAGATTACATTCTTCCAAGATATTATCCTCCTGACAGATGGCCATCCAGATTTTGATTGTTGTTGTTGTTCTTCTTCTTCTTCTTTTTATTATTATTATTATTATTATTATTATTATTATTGAGCCGCAGAGGTGCAATGGGTTAAACTCTTGTGCCGGCTGAACTGCTGACCCGACATTATTATTATTCTCAGAACCATACAATCCTAGAGTTCAAAGAGACCCCAAAAAGCCATAAATCAGATTACATTCTTCCAAGATATTATCCTCCTGACAGGTGGCCATTCAGACTTTGATTATTATTACCGTATATACTCAAGTATAAGCTGACCCGAATATAAGCCGAGGCACCTAATTTTACCACAAAAAAATGGGAAAACGGATTGACTCGAGTCGAGGGTGGGAAATGCAGCAGCTACTGATAAATTTCAATATAAAAATTATATTAATAAAATTATATTAATTTAGGCATCAGTAGGTTAAATGTTTTTGAATATTTACATAAAACTGTAATGCAAGATAGGACTGTCCAACTCTGATTAAACCATTATTCTAACCTTCTTCAATGTAAATATGCTAACATGTCCTCCAATAATAATAGAGTAAAATAATAATAATAATAGTAATAGAGTAAAATAATAAATGTAACAATAACAATAATAGAGGAAAATAATAAATGTAATAATAACAATAATAAAATAATAAATGTAATAATAACAACAACAACAACAAAGTAAAATAATAAATAACATTAACTCGAGTATAAGCCGGGGGGAGACCTTTTCAGCCTAAAAAAAGGACTGAAAAACTAGGCTTATACTCAAGTATATACAGTATTATTATTATTATTATTATTATTATTGAGCCGCGGAGGTGCAATAGGTTAAACCCTTATGCCAGCTGAACTGCTGACCTGAAGGTTGGGTTGCTGCTCCCCTGAAGGTTGCCGGTTTCAATCTGCGAGACAGGGTGAGCTCCCATCTGTCAGCTCTAGCTTGCAGCGACATGAGAGAAGCCCCCTAGCATCTCCTGGGCAATATCTTTGTAGAATGCCAAGCTACTTTGCAGTATGTTCTCAACTTGCTTTGACATGATAAAAAACATTAATAGAACCATAGAATCCTAGGGTTGGATGAAACCTTCAAAGGCCATATAATCTGACCCTTCTTCCTAAAGGAAGACACCAACCAAGCCCTCTCGATAGATGGCTATTTAGCCCTCCAGGTGTTTTGGAGGCCTACCGGCTGTTAGGAATTGTGGGAGTTGAAGTCCAAAACACCGGGAGGGTTGAATTTTGGTCATTCCTGAGATAAGGGATTCTCAACCTGTATGTATTTCGATGTTTGTCAGCCCCTTTGAGTCCCAGACAAGAGTATAAATGGCTACAACATCAACTAATTGTGCAGCAAACTTTACTTCTCTCCTGTGCTTCCATCCCGCCCAGATGACCGCTACATCCATCCGCTGCAGGAGGCCTTTTCCATCCAGTTGATCTCTCCGGTCAGTTGGGAGACCATCCCAAACACCAGGTGAGAGGACTTGCAATACAGCCATAGGCCTAACTAATAATACCACATACTATAATTTAGCACAGCCTCTGTATTGGCTTGCAAAAATTCATATTGCAATACAGTCATAGTGTTGCACTCCAGAACAGGAAAAGCCCTCTGACTTTAAACACCACACGTTGAATACGAAAACAATCCTTTTCTTGGGGATAATTAAAAAGCAGCAAAGTAAAAAAGCACTTTAAAGAAATAGGTAAATCCAATCAGGTAAGGAGATAAGCAGGAACAAAATTGTCCAGGGAAAAGTTCAGCAAAGTCCATGAAAACAAAGCCCACACTTCTCTAATATAATCCAGAAAACCAGGAAACATTAATCCAAGGCATGAGTATGCAGTCATAAAATCCAAGAATCAAAACCATGAAACAAGAAATGCCAAGCAAGTAGCTTGTCATTCTACAGAGATATGTAATCTAACAGATTAAGCATGAATCTTCCAAGCTAGGCTTCCATGAAACAAGGACGAGAACTTAAGTTGATTCCAAACAATGCTTCATCTGGCTACATTTCCCATACTTGAGACTTTTATCCCCTCATTAAACTATCCCAAGCACTCAGAAATTGGTTTCGCTGGAGCCTGGCAGAATGCCGAAGCCACTGTTCGGTTTGTCTGTTTTGACTAATCTCCTGCCATCTATCTATTTGCTCATTAACTTTTGCAGCTGGGCCAGGTGCCGAGTTGTTTTCAAGCCCCAAATCCTGGGAACTCTCTGGTAGCAATTCAGGGAGTACACAGTCATCCTCACACCTCTCAAGGACATTCTCATGGGAAACTACACTTTTCACAGGGATCTCCTGGTCATTCTCTGCATCAAGATCATTGACCAGGCCATTGCCATCTTGAAAGTCATTGACATCACTCCCAACATCCAAAGCACCCAGATCCTGAAACACAGTCACAGGCTGAGCTCCAACACGTAGGCCTAACTAATACAATACTATACTATATCATATTCTCTGTATTGGCTTGCAGTAATTTATATTGCAATACAGTCATAGGCCTAACTAATACGATATCCCATACTATACTATAGCATAGCCTCTGTATTGGCTTGCAATAATTAATATTGCAATGCAATCATAGGCCTAACTAATACAATACCCCATACTATACTATAGTATAGCCTCTGTATTGGCTTGCAATAATTCATACTGCAATACAGTCATAGGTGTTACTAATGCAATATTCCATATTATACTATAGCATAGCCTCTGTATTGGCTTGCAACAATTAATATTACAATGCAGGCATAGGCGTTACTAATACAACATCCCATCCAATTCTATAGGATAGCCTCTGTATTGGCTTGCAATAATTCATATTGCAGTATAGTCATAGGTGTTACTAATACAATACCCCATACTATACTATAGCACAGCCTCTGTATTGGCTTGCAATAATTAATACTGCAATGCAGTCATAGGCATTAGTAATACAATACCCCGTACTATACTATAGCACAGTCTCTGCATTGGCTTGCAATAATTCATATTGCAATGTAGTCATAGGTGTTACGAATACAATACCCCATACTATACTATAGCATAGCCTCTGTATTGGCTTGCAATAATTCATATTGCAATGTAGTCATAGGCGTTACTAATACAATATCCCATACTATACTATAGCACAGTCTCTGCATTGGCTTGCAATAATTCATATTGCAATGTAGTCATAGGTGTTACTAATACAATATCCCATACTATACTATAGCATAGCCTCTGTATTGGCTTGCAATAATTCATATTGCAATGTAGTCACAGGCATTACTAATACAATACCCCATACTATACTATAGCATAGCCTCTGCATTGGCTTGCAATAATTCATATTGCAATGTAGTCATAGGCGTTACTAATACAATATCCCATACTATACTATAGCACAGTCTCTGCATTGGCTTGCAATAATTCATATTGCAATGTAGTCATAGGTGTTACTAATACAATATCCCATACTATACTATAGCATAGCCTCTGTATTGGCTTGCAATAATTCATATTGCAATACAGTCATAGGCCTAATATAATACCCCAACTTGCAGCCTCTGTATTGGCTTGCAATAATTAATATTGCAATGCAGTCATGGGCGTTACTACCCCATACTATATTATATGGATGATGTCCAACTCTGTCACTCCTTCCCACCTGTTACTAAGGAGGCTGTTCAGGTCCTGAACTGGTGCTTGGCCGCTGTAACGGTCTCAATGAGGGCGAACAAATTGAAGTTGAATCCAGACAAGACAGAGGTACTCCTAGTCAGTCGCAAGGCCGAACAGGGCATAGGGTTACAGCCTGTGTTGGATGGGGTCACACTCCCCCTGAAGACGCAGGTTCGCAGCTTGGGAGTGATCTTGGACTCATTGCTGAGCCTGGAACCCTAGGTTCCAGTGGTGACCAGGGGAGCATTCGCACAGTTAAAACTTGTGCGCCAGCTGCGTCCGTACCTTGGGAAGTCTGACTTGGCCACGGTAGTCCACACTCTGGTTACATCCCGTATAGACTACTGCAACGCTCTCTACATGGGGTTGCCTTTGAAGACTGTCCGGAAGCTTCAAATGGTCCAGCGTTCGGCAGCCGGGTTGCTAACAGGAGCGGCACTCAGGGTCCACTGGCTGCCAGTTTGCTACCGGGCACAATTCAAAGTGCTGGCCTTAGCCTATAAAGCCCTAAACGGTTCTAGCCCTACTTACCTCTCCGAATGCATCTCCTCCTATGAACCAACTAGGACATTAAGATCATCTGGGGAGGCCCTGCTCTCGGTCCCGCCTGCATCACAGGACGAAAGACAGGGCCTTCTCAGTGGTGGCCCCTCAGCTGTGGAACGCCCTTCCTACAGATATCAGATCGGCCTCCTCCCTGTTGGCATTTCGGAGGAAAGTGAAGACCTGGCTGTTCGAACAAGCATTCGATTAAGCAGTGTAATTGAATATAGGAATACGGAATAATGGATGATGAGATTGGATTCTGATTTTACTGATGAGATGCTAATGATTGTTATATTGATGTTGAATCGTTCATGATGCTACTGTTTTTAACTGTCCCATATTCGTTTTGTGATGTTTTTGCATTGAATTTTGCTGTTGTTAACCGCTTTGAGTCACCTGAGGGCTGAGAAAAGCGGTATATAAATGAAGCAAATAAATAAATAAATAAATATATATATAAATAAATAAATAGTACAGGCTCTGTATTGGCTTGCAATAATTAATATTGCAATGCAGTCATAGGCGTTATTAATACAATACCCCATACTATACTGTAGCACAGCCTCTGTATTGACTTGCAATCATTCATATTGCAATATAGTCATAGGACTAACTAATACAATACCACATACTATAACTTAGCATAGCCTCTGTACTGGCTTGCAGTAATTCTTTTTGCAATGCAGTCATAGGAGTTACTAATACAATACCCCATACTATACTATAGCACAGCCTCTGCATTGGTTTGCAATAATTCATATTGCAATACGGTCATAGGTCTAATTAATATAATACCCGTTAATATACTCTAGCATAGCCTCTGTATTGGCTTGCAATAATTCATATTGCAATGTTGCCCTAGGCCTAACTAATACAATACCCCATATTGTACCATAGCCTAGCGTCTATCTGTATTGGCTCACAATAATTAATACTGCAATACAGTCAGAGGCCTAACTCATACAATACACCATACTGTATATATGAATCTTCCAAGCTAGGCTTCCATGAAACAAGGACAAGAACTTAAGTTGATTCCAAACGATGCTTCATCTGGCTATATTTCCCATACTTGAGACTTTTATCCCCTCATTAAGCTATCCCAAGCACCCAGAAATTGGTTTCGCTGGAGCCTGGCAGAATGCCGAAGCCAATGTGCGGTTTGTCTGTTTTGACTAATCTCCTGCCGTGTATCTATTTGCTCATTAAGTTTTGCAGCTGTATTGTCTTGCAATAATTAATTTTGCAATATACTCATAGCCCTAACTTGTACAATATACCATTGGAAAGGGGCCGGCTCTTTTGGAAAGGGACCGGTGCAGGGAACGGACTTCTCCCTTAGTCCTCCTAATGTTTGGGACTTGCAGAATCGACCTGGAGGAGTGGGAGCACGTGACCTGCATGAAGACGGTGTCCTTGAAGAGTGAGGAGACCGTCTCCGGCCTGAAGGGCTACATCGCCATCGGGACCTGCCTCATGCAAGGAGAGGAGGTGACCTGCCGGGGAAGGGTGAGTCCACCCCACATGCATTCCTGTGCAGCTAATGCCATCCCAAACCCATCCGGGACCTCAGCCATCCAAGTTGCTTGTCCTCTTCCCTTTCCCAAGATGCATTTCCAGGCATGTCAACAATGAAATGGGTTTGAAATCTTGAAATCAGCATTCTCTCCTGCGCTCCCTGCCTTTTGCAGATCTTGATCATGGACATTATCGAAGTGGTTCCGGAGCCCGGACAGCCCCTCACCAAGAACAAGTTCAAGGTGCTCTACGAGAAGGAGCAGAAGGGGCCCGTGACCGCCCTCTGCCACTGCAACGGCTACCTGGTGTCCGCCATTGGCCAGAAGGTGAGTCCCGGAAGGAAGGAGGACCGCTTTTGCAAAAGGTGGTGCTGTCAGCTTTGCTCTCATGCTTAGAGCATCTATCCCAGGCATGGACAAACTTGGGCCTTTCTTCCAGGTGTTCTGGAAGGAGATCAAGCCCTTTCCCTTTAAGCTGGCAGGGTTCCTTCTCCTCCTTCTTCACCTTTCTATATACCTCCGTTGCCTTTCCTCCTCCTTGTTTTCTGCTGCCCTGGAGACTGGGACTCAATGGAGCCATGAGTTCAGATGACAGGAAAGGAGATTCCATTGGACATTAGGAAGAAGTTCCTGACTATAAGACGAGCTGTTCAACAGTGGAACTCTCTGCCTGAGAGTCTGGTGGAAGCTCCTTCTTTGGAGGCTTTTAAACAGAGTTTGGATGGCCATCTGTCAAGGGTGCTTTGATTGTGCTTTTCTTGCTTGGCAGGAAGTTGGTCCATGAGGTCAATCTGACCCAGGCTGGCTTCGAACTCATGACCTTTCGGTCAATAGTGATCTGAATGCAGCTGACTCCTTCAGATCCAAAAGTTCTCATGCCCACCCTTGAGCTGGCTTTGTTATGATTGACTGTGACATCAGCAAGCCAGGAGGAGACCCAATGAGGGCTCTGGCCCTGCTTTTGGCCGCTCAGTCAATGGGGTGGAAGGGAGGCGGGCAACAGGGAAACAATGAAGAAATGTCTAGTTGACTGGATTAAGATGTCCAGTGTTTGCCAAATGACTGGGTGATAGCTTTAGGCTCTCAAGCCTGGCCTAGGTTATTGTTTGGTTCCGTGAATTAACATTCCTATCTAGCCCCGAGAGGCCAGGTCCTGCGATATGGAGTTCTTTGATGAAGTTGATGCTAGTATCGGGAGATCAGGATGTGGCACAGCAGGGAGGAGGATGACAAATCCCCGGTTCCTTGCAGATTGAGAGATGTCCTTTGTGTTGGGTGATCCAAAGTGTCCATAGACCCCATCATTCCGGATCGCCTGGCTATTAGCCCTCCGAGATCTGGTCAGACAGAGCCATTTATTTATAGTCCATGCAAATGTATCTGGTTGAGTCCACAACAATGTGATGTGGCGGCAAAAAAAGCCAATGGGATTTGGCCTGCATCAATAGGAGCATAGTGTCTAGATCTAGGGAAGTCATGCTCCCCATGCTCTATTCCGCTTTGGTTAGACCACACCTGGAATATTGTGTCCAATTCTGGGCACCACAATTCAAGAGAGATATTGACAAGCTGGAATGTGTCCAGAGGAGGGCGACTAAAATGATCAAGGGTCTGGAGAACAAGCCCTATGAGGAGCGGCTTAAGGAGCTGGGCATGTTTAGCCTGAAGAAGAGAAGGCTGAGAGGAGATTCATATCATCATTAGCCATGTATAAATATGTGAGAGGAAGCCACAGGGAGGAGGGAGCAAGCTTGTTTTCTGCTTCCCTGGAGACTAGGACACGAAACAATGGCTTCAAAGTACAAGAAAGAAGATTCCATCTGAACATGAGGAAGAACTTCCTGACTGTGAGAGCCGTTCAGCAGTGGAACTCTCTGCCCCGGAGTGTGGTGGAGGCTCCTTCTTTGGAAGCTTTTAAGCAGAGGCTGGATGGCCATTTGTCAGGGATGATTTGAATGCAATATTCCTGCTTCTTGGCAGAATGGGGTTGGACTGGATGGCCCAGGAGGTCTCTTCCAACTCTTTGATTCTATGATTCTACCTGAGCCCCCTTCTTCTCTGTTCCCATCCCAGATCTTCCTTTGGAGCCTGAAGGACAACGACCTGACCGGGATGGCCTTCATCGACACGCAGCTCTACATCCACCAGATGATCAGTGTCAAGAACTTCATCCTGGCCGCCGACGTCATGAAGAGCATCTCATTGCTGCGCTACCAGGAGGAGAGCAAAACCCTGTCCCTTGTCAGCCGGGTGCGGAGCTACTACGGGACCTTATTCTTTGTGTGTGTGTGGGGGGGGGGGGTATGGGAGGGGGGCCCTTGATCGAGGGGGGGGGTGGTGTGGGTATGGGAGTGCGTTAAGGGGAGGGGGACCCTTGACCTTGTCCCTGTCATGAATGCCCAGGGGACGCAGTAGGTTAAACCTTAATAGGCCTTTAGCCAGACCTCAATCATACAGTTTCATTCCACCCATGACAACAGCACCCTCTTTGACCCCCTATCTCTCGCTCTCTCCTCTCCAGGATGCCAAACCTTTAGAAGTGTACTGTGTGGACTTCATGGTGGACAATTCCCAGCTAGGATTCCTGGGTGCGTATATACATGGCAAACATTCAAATGTCATAAACACACAACAGATATAGACAGAGACACAGAGGCTATTTAACCTTCCAGCTTCATGCCTTTTGAATTCCGGCCACCGGGGGAGCTGTCACTTCACCCTCCACTTGTGACATCGATGGAGTACTTCCTCATTCTTTTGCATGCTGCTGGAGAGTTTTATGGCGTTGTAAAATTAGTTAAATTAGCCTCCCCCGCATCAGTGGTACCTAAATTTCTTACTTGACAGATGCAACTCCAAGATGACTCCAAGTATTGTTGGATTACTCCTTGAAACAGGGACTTAAAATTTACCTAAATGTGTGAAAATTTGAGGAAAATAGTAAGAGGATGTTTTCAATTGGGAGCAAGCATAATTACCTGTGCAATACAGTTGGAATTGAACCTGGATTGATGAATATGATTATTTGATTATCTGGCTTTGGATCTATGCACAATAGTATAATGTTTACATATGTTGTTTAATGTTGTTTTAAATTGTTGCTTAATTGCTTGTAATTGTTGTTGTTGTTGTTGTTTGGGCATGGAATAATAATTCATATAAGCCACCCTGAGTCCCCTTCGGAGTGAGAATGGCGGGATATAAATGTCGTAAATAAATAATAAATAAACTGTCTTTCAGGCTGCAAAGGACAACAGCAAGCTAGACAAATGGCCGGAAGCTCACTCTGACCCAGGCTGGCTTCTCGGCCAGTAGTGATTTTAATGTAGCTGACTCGCTACCAGCTGTGCCACAACCCGGTCCTACATGAGGCAGGGCCTTCTCAGTGGCTGCCCCAAGACATTGCAGTTCCGCTCCTAGAAAGCCTAGAACAAGAATGGGCAAACTTTGGCCTTCCCTCCAGGTGTTTTGGACTTCAACTCCCTACCGGCTGTTAGGAATTGCGGGAGTTGAAGTCCAAAACACCTGGAGGGAAGGCCAAAGTTTGCCCATCCCTGGATTAGAATGTCTCCAACCTCTTTGCTATCCTTCTATTTGCTGGAATAAATAAACAATTGTTGTTCAGACAGGCTTGTAGAACCGAAGGGCTATCTGTGTTGCGTTGGGAAAAAGCAGGATATGAATGAGTATAACGAACGTCTCTCACCGAGGCGCTTCTTTTAGCAGGGAAAAGGAACAGGGAATTCTGAAATAGTGAATCTCACAAGCTACCAGGTATTATAAGGGATATCATCGGAGGGAAATTGATAAAACAGGGAAAGATATAACTGTGTGTAGATGTATTTGAATGACGTCTGAACTGAGAGGTTTTTTTAAAAAGCTTCTTCAATTGGGTACGCTGCCACCTTATTGCTTAGTATTTAGGCTGGATTATACGTGTGGAGAGGATACTTAGTAACACCCTTCTGTGTTACTATAGTGCAGTGGTTCTCATCCTGGGGTCCCCAGATGTTCTTGGCCTACAACTCCCAGAATTCCCAGCCAGGATTTCTGGGAGTTGAAGGCCAAAAACATCCGGGGACCCACAGGTTGAGAACCACTGCTATAGTGTTTATTTTCTTCAGAGGGTTTTAAAATATCAATGACGTTCACACACAGGCTGTTGTATAGTGTTAACTATAATAAAACGTTTATTTAACAGGCTTAAACTCTTCTGGTACAAATGCGTAATGGTTTCTGTAAGTTAATGGCACAAAAGCTTTTGGTTACGTTTGATGTACAATTCTTAGATGGGTACTGGGTTTAAATCTAGAGTTAACAAACAGGAGATTATCTCAGGAAACTAATCTCTGATGATAATTCCAAACCAAATTCCCACTTTCTGGAATCTAGCCAAACAATCCTAGCTGCCAAAACTCAAGCCTCAAATTCAAAAAGTACACTTTTTTCTCTATTTGAATGTTAGGCTCTACCCCTTAGTGTCAGGACCCAGAGCAGTCAGCAACACAAATGGCACTGATGGAGTTAAAGTAAGGTGTTTAATGTCTATTAACAAAACAAAAGGAGACTCTTCAGTTCAGAGTAATTAACAAAGGAGGCTTGCAGTCAGCAGGAATGTAAACAAACTGGTCTCAGTCAGCCACGGCTGACAAAAGGAAAGTCAGTTCAAAACAGAAGCAGGCAGCTTAAATTCAGCAGGGAAACTTTAGTCCGAATTGAAGGCAAACAGAACAGCAAACAGCAGTTGGCATGAAGAGCGGTCCAACGAAGTTTCCAGGATTAAGCAGAGGCGTAGTCAGGCAGTCCGAGGGTCAAAGCAGGGAAGACTCACGAGTCTGGAACCAGCAGGGTTGTTCACACGATCAGGAAACACGAAGCTGTAACAAGAACTCAGGGCAGGAGTTACACACAAGGCACACGGCATGCGACACCTTGAACTCTGCGATTAGACTGTCCCCAAACTGCTGCTTAAATCTCATCCGAGTCACTGGAACTGCCGTCAGCTGGGTCCAATTCCTCAGGTGAATCCACACCACGCCATTGCTGCCAGTCAGCACTTCGAGTTCCATCCTGCAAAGAGTTATCTCCAACCCAGTTATTATCAAAACCCTGGAATTCATCACTAGACGTGGGAGCGTTAATTACATCCATTACTTCCTGGACTTTAGTCCAGTCCAGCTCTTCCTCTTCGCTGTCAAACTCCCCACAGTCTGCAACATCTCTCAGGCGTTTAGCAACAGATCCCACATCACTGTTTGAGCTGCTGGCTACTCTCTTTACACCTCTGTAATCTTCCAGCTCCATTTCCTCGCGAGTAAAACCCACAAAATCCTCCTCATCTGTCGTCTCTAGAAACAAGTCTCTTATCCTTTTCAGCTGCTGCTGAGCTTCATCATTCTCTAACCTACGTTTCCTTCTACTACTAGTAGTAGGTGCATGAGACAGACGCTGAGTCTCAACACTATCCCCCCCCTCCAAGGCTCCCCCCAACAGTATTTTGACGCCGCCCCCCCCCCCCCCCCCAAGAAAACCTGACCTAACATGGCGTCTCCCTGTTTCCCTAATCTAAAATGGCCACCAGGGCTTCGCTAGGCCCGCATTCTGGCTGCTAAAGGTAAGGGTTCTTCACAATAAGCATGGTGATCATGGCAATGATGATACCATCATCAACACCATCTGCAGCAGACATGTGCAAATTAGGCGATGTGTACGTCATCTTATTCTGACATATGAGTCTTGCAGTTCTGCTATGGTCAGGCCACGAGATGAAAGAGATGCATGCCAACCGTGTTTCCTTCTTTTGCAGTGTCCGACAGGGACCGGAACCTCCTGGTCTACATGTACCTGCCGGAAGGTGAGAGCCATTGAATCCTTCTCCGGGGCATTTGAGATAATAATAATAATAATAATAATAATAATAATAATATACATCACACAGTCCTAGACGCTTGGGAAGTGTTCGACTTGTGATTTTTTGATACGAAATCCAGCATATAGATCTAGTTTGCTGTGACATACTGTGCTTTTGTGTCAGTAAAGTAATAATAATAATAATGAAAATAGGAGGAATACTCCATTCTTTACAGGAGGTAAAATGGCAGGAATGAGGCAAAAATATATTTACTCATAATATAATATATTGTGTATATGTGTGTGTTTGCGTGTATAGAATATATATATATGTGTGTGTGTAGGTGTATATATGTGTGTGCATATGTGTGTGTGAAGATGTGTATATATTTGTGTGTTTATATGTGTAAAACATGTGTAAAAATATGTGTAAAAAAGGACTGTGAGAACGGGATCTGATTCTAATTGAGGCGTTGATGACTATATGTGTGTCGTTTGTGTATGTGTGTCTTATTTACTGTTAGTGTTGCCCATTTTTATTGTAAACCGCATTGAGTCGCCGTCCCAGGCTGATAAATGCGGTATACAAATGGAGTAAATAAATAAATAAATAAATATATGTATATTGTGTATATGTGTGATTGCCTATATGCATATTTGTGTTTATGTATGTGTGCATGTGTATATTTGTGTGTGCATGTGTATATGTATATATGTGTGTATGTAGATGTATGTGTGTGTATATATATGTGTGCTTGGGTATATATATATATATATATATATATATATATATATATATATATATATATATATATGCACACACACATGTGTATGTATGTGTGCATGTGTATATGTACATGAGTGTGTGCGTGTGTGTATATATATGGATATATACATATACACACAAACACACACACACACATATATATATATATGGTGTATTTTGGGGGTTTAAGTCCATTTTTTTTTGTAATTTTAGGGGTGATGAACACTCATTGGTCTGTTAGGGCTGTACTGTCCAAATTTCGTCCAGTGGTTTCTGAATTCTGTTAATCCCACAAACGAAAATTACATTTTTATTTATATAGATTATATATTTATATTACATGTAATATTACTAATAATATTACAATATAATGGTAGAGTGCAATATAGTAATGTATATAATACTGATATTGTACTATGCTAATAATATAATATAGTGTATGAATATATGTTTTGTAAGCTGCTCTGAGTCCCCTTCGGGGTGAGAAGGGCATCATATAAATATTTGTTTGTTTGTTTGTTTGTTTATTTATTTACAGCTTTTATATTCGGCCCTTCTCCTCACCCCGCAGGGGACTCAGGGCGGATTACAGTGTACACATATATGGCAAACATTCAATGCCAATTTTGACATACGAACATATACAGACATAGACAGAGGCTATTTGACTTTTCTGGCCGCCAGGGGAGCTGTCGCTTCTGTCATCCATCTGCGATGCTGATGAAGCACTTCCGCATTCCCCGCATGCTTCCCCGCTGGAATGCTTTGCTGGAGTCTTCTTTATGGCCTCATAAATCAGTTAATTTAGCCTCCTCACACTTTAAGGTGGTACCTAATTTTCCTACTTGACAGATGCAACTGTCTTTCGGGTTGCAAAGGTCGACAACAGGCTACATACAATTGGTTGGAAACCCACTCCAACCCGAGCTGGCTTCGAACTCATGACTTTTTTGGTCAGAGTGATCTTAATGCAGCTGACACTCAGCCAGCTGCACCACAATCATAAATAAATACATAAATAAATGCACTACCATCTATAGCTCCTCCAATTCTAGGAAGGGGTGCATGTGGTGTATCAGCTGAAGCTGATACCCGTATTTACTCGAGTCTAATGCACCATTGAATCTAATGAGCATCTTAGTTTTCAAAACCCTGAAACCATATTTATATATATGTATATGTATGTGTGTGTGTGTGTGTGTGTGTATGTGTGTGTGTGTGTGTGTGTATATATATATATATATACCTTGTGCTGCTTGCGCATTACATTCGGCAGCAAAGATATATACATACACACACACACACACACACATACACACATATATATATATATATCTTTGCTGCCGAATGTAATGCGCAAGCAGCACAAAGTGCACTCTTTGTAATAGGGCCATTATAGTTGCTGCCTGCTTAGAATTACGTTTGGTGGGGACGAGAGACAAGGCCTTCTCAGTGGTGGCCCCTCGGCTATGGAATGCCCTTCTTGGGGACATTAGACCGGCCCCCTCCTTCTAAACATTCCGGAAAAGAGTCAAGACTTGGTTGTTTGAACAAGCATTTGAAAACGCAAGGTAAAAGACATAGGAATTGGAACGACTGGACGACGAGTTGGGACAATGCTTTTTTTTTTTTTTTGAGATGCAAATGATCTATGGTTTTATATTATGTGTTAATATTTTTAAATGTTTTATGGTGTTTTTGGGCATCGATTCGTTGCCATTGTAAACCCGTCCTGAGTCGCCTGAGAGCTGAGAAGGGCGGTATACAAATCCAGTAAGTAAATAAATAAACAAATAATAGAATGAGAACACCTGTCTCTTGGTTCCTTTTTCCAGCGAAGGAGAGCTTTGGCGGGATGCGGCTCCTCCGCCGGGCGGATTTCCACGTGGGCGCCCACGTCAACGCCTTCTGGAGGACGCCGTGCCGAGGGGCCATGGAAGGCCCCACCAAGAAGTCCAGCGCGTGGGAGAACAAGCACATCACCTGGTTCGGTAAATGGGGGAAGGAGACGGGGAAACTGCGGCGAGGGTGAAAGCCAGGTGTTGGTGCCACAAAGGAAGTCAGGAAAGCTGAGCTGCAACCTGGTCCTGACTTAAGTTGTGTTGGAATACACCAGACGTAGGCAAACTTCAAAATCAACTTATATCCCCATACCAAAAAAGGGAAATGCGAAAGACTGCTCAAACTTCCGTACAGTGGCCTTATTTCTCATGCCAGTAAGGTAATGCTCAAGATCCTGCAAGGAAGACTCCAGCAATACATGGAGCGAGAGTTGCCAGATGTTCAAGCTGGGTTGAGAAAAGGCAGAGGAACGAGAGACCAGATTGCCAATATCCGCTGGATAATGGAGAAAGGCAAGAGGGAGTTCCAGAAAAACATCTACTTCTGCTTCATTGACTATTCTAAAGCCCTTAACTGTGTGGATCATCATAAATGGTGGCAAGTTCTTAGTGGGATGGGCATCCCAAGGCACCTTGTCTCTCTCCTGAGGAATCTGTCCAAGGACCAAGTAGCAACAGTCAGAACTGACCACGGAACAACAGACTGGTTCAAGATTGGGAAAGGCGTACGGCAAGGCTGCATACTCTCACCCAACCTTTTTAACTTGTATGCAGAACACATCATGCGAGGATGTGCGGGGCTTGATGAATGCAAAGCTGGGGTGAAAATTGCTGGAAGAAACATTAACAACCTCAGATATGCAGATGACACCACTCTGATGGCCGAAAGCGAGGAGGAGCTGAGGAGCCTTCTAATCAAGGTGAAAGAAGAAAGTGCAAAAAGCTGGGTTGCAGTTAAACATAAAAAAACCCCAAGATTATGGAAACAAGAATGATTGAAAACTGGGAAATAGAGGGAGAAAATGTGGAGGCTGTGACAGACTTTGTATTTCTAGGTGCAAAGATTACTGCAGATGCAGACTGCAGCCAGGAAATCAGAAGACGCTTACTTCTTGGGAGGAGAGCAATGTCCAGTCTCGATAAAATAGTGAAGAGTAGAGACATCAGACTGGCAACAAAGATCCGCCTAGTCAAAGCCATGGTATACCCTGTAGTCACCTACGGATGTGAGAGCTGGACCTTAGGGAAGGCTGAGCGAAGGAAGATCGATGCTTTTGAGCTGTGGTGTTGGAGGAAAGTTCTGAGAGTGCAACGATGCTTTTGAGCTGTGGTGTTGGAGGAAAGTTCTGAGAGTGCCTTGGACTGCGAGAAGATCCAACCAGTCCATCCTCCAGGAAATAAAGCCCGACTGCTCACTGGAGGGAAAGATACTAGAGACAAAGTTGAAGTTTGGCCACATCATGAGGAGACAGCAAAGCCTAGAGAAGACAATGATGCTGGGGAAAGTGGAAGGCAAAAGGAAGAGGGGCCGACCAAGGGCAAGATGGATGGATGGCATCCTTGAAGTGACTGGACTGACCTTGAAGGAGCTGGGGGTGGTGACGGCCGACAGCGAGCTCTGGCGTGGGCTGGTCCATGAGGTCACGAAGAGTCGGAGACGACTGAACGAATGAACAACAACAACAGGCAATTGGATTTCAGTGGCTTCTCTGTGTAGTCTGATGTGGTGGTTGCAGACTCCTTCAACCAGAGAAGTCAGCCATAGCAGAGCACCTGATGAACCAACCTGCACACAACATATTATTTGAGAACACAGAAAGGCTGGACCACTCTGATAAGTATTTAAGTACTTATTTTTTTGCTAGTTATGATAAGTTTATATTGATGTTGTTTTATTTACTGTTTTGATTTCATTTCTCTGTCTGTTTATTTTTAGTACGGGATTGAATATTTGCCACTTTTTGTTTGCAAAACTCTGAGTCCTCCTGGGTGGGCTTTAAATAACTAGCTGTACCCGCCACGCGTTGTTGTGGCCAACCTTCCCTCCTCTTTTCCCTCATTCCTTCCCTCCCTCTTTCCTTCCTTCCCTCTTTCCTTCCTCCCCTCTTTTTCTTTTCCTTCTTCTTCCTTCTCTGTTTCTTTCCTCCCTTCCTTTGCTCTTTGGTTCCATCCTTCCTTATCGCCTGCCTTCCTTCCTTCCTTCCTTCCTTCCTTCCTTCCTTCCTTCCTTCCTTCCTTCCTCCTTCCTTCCTTCCTTCCTTCCTTCCTTTCTTCCCTCCCTCTTTCTCTCTTTCATCCTTTTCTCTTTCCCTCCTTCTTTCACTTTTAATTTCCTTCTCTCCTTCCTTCCTTCTCTACCTTTCTTTCTTTCCTTCCTTCTTTCTCTCCTTCTCTCCCTCTTTCTCTCCCTCCTTCTTTTCTTCTTCCTTCCTTCAGCCTTTCTGTGTATGTTTTGAGTGTGTATATATGCGTATGTGCATATGCATATATATACACACAAAACAAATATACACAGAAAGGGGGAAGGAAGGAAGAAGGAAAGAAGGAGGGAGAGAAATATACACAGAAAGGGGGAAGGAAGGAGAGAAAGAAGGAGAGAAGGAGAGAAGGAAGGAAAGAAAGAAAGGTAGAGAAAGAAGGAAGGAGAGAAGGAAATAAAAAAGTGAAAGAAGGAGGGAAAGAGAGAAGGATGAAAGAGAGAAAGAGGGAGGGAAGGAAGGAAGGAAAGCGACAAGGAAGGATGGAACCAAAGAGCAAAGGGAGGAAAGAAACAGAGAAGGAAGAAGATATATGTGCATGTATGTGTGTCTGTGTATATATGTGGTTTTGCGCATGCGTTGTAATGTATTTTGGGGGGAGTTTTTTGGCTTTTAAAGTCTCTTCTGCTGTGTTTTTCAAGGTTTTATGACCGATGGCCACTCATTGGCCTGATAGTTGTATTGTGTCCAAATTTGGTGTTAATTCATCCAGTGATTTTTGAGTTATGTTAATCCCACAAATGAACGTTACATTTTATTTATATAGATGATGATGATGATGATGATGATGATGATGACGACGATGATGATGATTGTCCAGTCCACTCCCATTGTGTCATACAGTAGGACACAACCAAAGCCCTCCTGACAGATGGCCATCCAACCTCTGGATTGTCGTAGGTGTTTCGGGCTGTATGGCCATGTACTAGAAGCATTCTCTCCTGACGTTTCGCCTGCATCTATGACAGGCATCCTCAGAGATTGTGATGTAGGTGAAATGTCAGGAGAGAATGCTTCTAAAACATGACCATACAGCCCAAAAAACCTACAACAACCCAGTGATTCTGTCCGTGAAAGCTTTCAACAATACATACAACCTCTGATTGGAAACTTCCAGAGAAAGAGTGTCTACTGAACTTCCAGGCAACTGCAGATTCTACTCTCAAGTAGCTTCTCCTGCAGCCAAAGGAACCAGTTTGGTCCCCCTTGTTTAAATGGGGGGATCCAATCTAATGAGGCTGCTTTCCTTTCTTTCTTTCCCAGCCACTCTGGATGGTGGGGTCGGGCTGTTGCTCCCAATGCAGGAGAAGACCTACCGGCGGCTGCTGATGCTCCAGAATGCGCTGACCACAATGCTGCCTCACCACGCAGGGCTCAACCCTCGCGCATTTAGGTGAGTTGAGCGGCAGGTCTGGAGCATTTATCACCATTCCAATCTTTTCTAGGCTTTGTCAATATGCAACATCGATCCCTCTTGCGTGGGCTTTTCCCTCCTAGAATATCTCCTGATTCTTTAAACTGGGTTGACAATATTCTTCTCCTTCTTGCTAACAGGATGCTGCACATGGACCGGCGCATCTTGCAAAACGCGGTGCGCAACATCCTGGACGGGGAGCTGCTGAACCGCTACCTGTACCTGAGCACCATGGAGCGTAGCGAGCTGGCCAAGAAGATCGGCACCACCCCGGATATTGTGAGTGGACATTGCGCGGGGAAGGAGTGGGTAGGTGGGACTGGATGGCTCCTGGAGTTCCAATTCAGGCCTGGGCCAACTTGGGCCCTCCCTCCAGGTGTTTTGGACTTCAACTCCCACAATTCCTAACAGCCGGTAGGCTGTTAGGAATTGTGGGAGTTGAAGTCCAAAACAGCTGGAGGGAGGGCCCAAATTGGCCCAGACCTGGGTTAGAGTCTTCCCTTGTACCCATATAAATATCCTTATTGTCTCCTTTGTTGTCTCCTTCGCAGATCCTGGAAGATTTACTGGAGATCGACCGCGTCACGGCTCACTTCTAAGTATCCCTCCTGGACCCTCCGCTTCGTTAACTCTTTGTAAAGTCTTTCCGACATGGCTCTTTATCTATTTGTTCCTGTTAGTGTTTTCCTTTTTTCTATAACAGTGGCAAACGTTTGTAAAAAAAATAAATACAATTTTTCCAATGACTGAACTTGATTGTTTTGTGGAACTACCCACAAGGGATGGTGTGTTGTGTGTGTCTTGCCAGGAAAGCAATGACTTGGCCTCCTTGGGGAGTTTTCAACCAAGGAGGGTCTTAGCAGTGGATCCCTTTATTATTTGGGGTCGGACTAGAAATCCCTTGGAATCCCTTTCAAATATGTGATCCTCTGGAACATTGGTTCTCAACCTGGGGGTCGCGACCACCAAGGGGGTCGCTGGGCCATTTTCCAGGGGTCGTGAAGCCGCCTCGGTTGGCCTCGCCCCCTCTGTCTCTCCAAAATGGCTGTCAGCTCCTGTGCGAGCCAAACAGCCAGACGTTCCAGGTTGGCTCTTCCCCCTCTTCCCACAGGGAGTCAGGAGGAGGAGCTTGGAGGCAAAGGTGTGCGCGGGAGAAAGCGCATACCTTTGCCGGAAGGGGAGAGGGGCAAACGCAAGGATCCCCACACGGCCAGGGCCATCTGGGGAGCCTTCTCCACTCGCCTCTCACCCCCGCCGGGCTCGGAAAGAGCAAGGGGCGACTGCAAGGCCCCCTGCATGGCCAAGACCATCCGGGGAGCCTTCTCTGCTCCCCTGGATGCACCTCACCATTGACAAGTGCACGGGGAACAGGTCCTGGGAGCACACATCCAGGGGCCGTGCTCCACCCGCCTTGGGCATGTGCTCCCAGCCCTCTTCCCCCGCGCGCTTGCCAATGCCAGGGCGCACGCACCCAGAGGCTCTTCTGTGAGAAGACGCAGTCACGCAGGTAGGATGGTCCCAAACCGTTCAGGGCTTTGTAGGTAAGCACCTGCACCTTAAATTGGGCTCGGAAAATAAACGATGGATGGATGGATGGATGGATGGATGGATGGAAGGAAGGATGGATGGAAGGAAGGATGGATGGATGGATGGATGGATGGATGGAAGGGAGGATGGGGTGGAAGGAAGGAAGGAAGGAAGGAGGAAGAAGAAGGAAGGAAGGATAGATGGATAGATGGATGGATGGAGGATGAATGGATGGATGGATGGAGATGGATGGAAGGTATCGCGCTATGGATTGCTATGCGATAGTGGATGGATGTATTGGATAGGAGTTCATTACCTTAAGAGAGGATGGATGGATAGGATGATGAGGAAGGATAGATAGGATAGGATGGATGGATGGATGGATGGATGGATAAGATGGATGGATAGATAGATAGATAGATAGATAGATAGATAGATAGATAGATAGATAGATAGATAGATAGATGGCATCTCTGCTGATGGGGAGTCATGCCCAGGGCCTCCCTCTGTGCCATCCCAGGCAACCATAGTCTATAATTAAAGGCTGGACCTGGGTTTTCCTTTATGTACTTCCACTCCCAGTATCCCCAGTTGGGGGATTCTGGGAGGGACAGTCCCCAAAAGGCACCTTTCCCTATGCTCTGGAGGGTCTTACTTGCAACATTTAAGGAAAAGAGGCCAAGGCATCGCTTGTGTCTGTATGTCTCTTCAAGAGTCTTGTGGACTCACGGCCAACCCATGCATTAATACTTCTTCAGAGGTGATGTTGTCAGTTCCCGTCTCTGAAATTGAGCCTATGGCATCTGGGATTCATTCAGAGGAAATCAGGCTTGGTCACGAGCTGTTACGGTAGGACTTTATTGATTAAAAAATAATAATAATATTGTGTTTCCCAGTTCATGGATCGGCGCAGTTGAGAGTTGGTCCAGGCTCGGAAGCTCCTTCTTAGGCCTGCAAAAACTCATAGATCTGGTCTTGCTCTTCGGTGTTTTTCAGGAAGCCGACAAACACCAGGAAACGCAGGAAAGAGGTAGTCAGCTTCACAGAGGTCACTTGGACCCTGGTCAGGAAGAAGGAGCAAGTGGTCAGCATTGGTCAGTGCAGAATCTTAAATGGAAGGGCCCCCCAAAGGTCATCCAGCCCAACCCCGTTAATTACAGCTGCATTTTTGTTCCTGATATATATATATATATATATATATATATATATATATATATATATATATATATATATATATATATCATTTCCTAATTGGTTTTATTATAAAAATGGGGAAAGTTCATTAAGCTGCCAAAACTTTGTTTTTGCGTCACACCGTGAAGCACGTTTTGCTCTATTTTTTCAAATTTTTTCTCATAAGAGTCTCAACCAATTCGGCATAGTTTCTGACACAAAAACAAAGTTTCTGGAGTAGATTCGACTTTCAAAGGAAGGTAAAAGTAAAGGTTCTCCCCTGACGTTAAGTCCAGTCATGTCTGACTCTGGGGTGTGGTGCTCATCTCCATTTCTAAGCCAAAGAGCCGGCGTTGTCCATAGACACCTCCAAGGTCATGTGGCAAGCCCTGGCCCGTGAGCACCCTAACTGGAGGTCAGCTGTGACCAGCAGTGCTGCAGAATTTGAAGAGAAAAAGGGCAAAAGAGAGAAACGTGCCAAGAGGAAGGCACGTCAAGCCAACCCGCCGAAGTGGTACCTATTGACCTACTCATATTTGCATGTTTTCGAACTGCTAGGTTGGCAGAAGCTAGGGTTGACAGCGGAAGCTCACGCTGCTCCCCGGAATCGAACCTGCAACCTTTCAATCTACAAGCTCAGCAGCTCAGCGCTATAACCCACTGCGCCACCGAGGGCCCTTCAAAGGAAGGACCGCACACTAAAACTGGAAATAACACTTTCAAACCAGAAACAATAATATCCATAATAACAACCACCACCACCACCTAAATTATAATCATAACATGTATGGGGACACAATGAACCTACTCAAGTTAATCAAGGTACATCAAATTACCATTATTATTAGTACCAAAATCATCATCATCCTATAACTCCAGTATGCTGATGACAATGTCATCTATGCGCATTCAGAAGACCTACAAGCCACTCTAAACACCTTTGCAGAAGCAACCTTAAGCTACTCAAGTTAATCAAGGTACATCAAATTACCATTATTATTAGTATCACCATCATCATTCTATAACTCCAATATGCTGATGACAGTCATCTATGCACATTTAGATGAAGATATACAAGCCACTCTAAACTCCTTCGCAGAAGCATACAAGAAGCTCAGCGTGTCATTAAACATCAAGAAAACCAAAGTGCTCTTCCAGCAGTCACCAGCCAATCCCTCTCCAATGCCGGAAATACAGTTTAATGGTGTAACATTAGAAAGTGTGGACCATTTCTGCTCCCTTGGCAGCCACCTCTCCACAAACGTCAACACTGACACTGAAATTCAACACCGCCTGAGCTCTGCGAGTGCAACACTATTCCGAATGAAGCAGTGAGTGTTTGAGGACCAGGACATCCATAGGGATACCAAGGTGCTTGTTTATGAAGCTCTTGTCTTCCCAACCCTGCTATATGCCTGCGAAACATGGACTGTCTAAAGGCATCAATACTGAGACTGAAATTCAACACCGCTTGAGCTGTGCAAGTGCAGCATTTTTCCAAATGAAGCAGAGTGAGTTTGAGGACCAGGACATCCGTAGGGAGACCAAGGTGCTTGTTTATAAAGCTATTGTCCTCCCAACCCTGCTATACGCCTGCGAAACGTGGACTGTCTACAGACGTCACGTGCAACTCCTGGAACGATTCCATCAGCGCTGCCTCCGGAAAATCCTGCAAATCTCTTGGGAAGACAAGTGTCAATGTGCTGGAAGAAGCAAAGACCACCAGCATTGAAGCGACGGTCCTCCGCCATCAACTCCGCTGGACCGGCCACGTTGTCTGGATGCCCGACCACTGTCTCCCAAAGCAATTGCTCTACTCCGAACTCAAGAACAGAAAACGGAATGTTGGAGGACAGGAAAAGAGATTGAAAGATGGGCTCAAAGCCAACCTTAAAAACTCTGGCATGGACCCTGAGAACTGGGAAGCCCTGGCCCGTGAGTCCTCTAGCTGGAAGTCAGCTGTGACCAGCAGTGGTGCAGAATTTGAAGAGGCACAAATGGAGGGCGAAAGGGAGTGGGTAGGCCTGGATGACCTTCACCATCCCTTCCACTGTAGGGTGTCTTATGATTCTTGCGTAAGCAAGCCCCCCAGCACCGTTTACCTGAGTGTAAACTCGAAGAGGAAGCCGTCCCAGGCGGCCCGGATCCAGCGGACGAGGAAGCTGCTGCCGATGCCTCTGGACCTTTGGGTGACCGTATGGCTCCAGCACCGGACTGCGCTGTGGAGGGAGAGAGGAAGGAAGGAAGGAAAGGCGGCCAAGGGTCAATGCCAGCAAACACACACACACACCCCCTGGGCACGATCCCCCTTCAGCAGAGGCGCCATCTATCTATAGCTATCTATTACTATATCTATATATCTGCTATATCTTATCTATCTATAGCTATATCCGCTATATCATCTATATATATAAAAAGAGAAAGGGCGTCCAACGGGACAGCAAAACTCAAAAAAACCCCGACTAAAATTTACCAAATTTACCATGCACGTACCTCAACCCACAAGGTATGCACAAATCAATTCAAAATTCTAAACAACATTAAAACACACTCACAATTAGACAAAACAACTGAGCATGCGCAATGGCGCCCCGCCGCAAGTCCCCGGGAGGGAGAGAAAGAGGGAAGGAGAGAAGGAAGGAAAGAAAAGGGTAGAGAAGGAAGGAAGGAGAGAAGGAGGGAAGGAGATAAAGAAGGAAAGAAAGAAGAGTAGAGAAGGAAGGAAGGAGAGGAGGGAGAGAATGAAATAAAAAAGTGAAAGAGGGGAGGAAGGAGAGAAGGAACGAAAGAGAGAAAGAGGGAGGGAAGGAAGGAAAGAGACAAGGAAGGGTGGAACCAAAGAGCAAAGGAAGTGAGAAAAGAAACATGTAGAGAAGGAAGAAAGAAGGGAAGGAAGAAAAAGAAAGAAAGAGAAGGAATGAAAGAGGGAGGGAAGGAAAGATAGGAAAAAAGGAGAGAAAAAGGGAGGGAAGGTTGGCCACAGCAACGCGTGGCGGGTACAGCTAGTCTATATATATATATTCTATATCATCTATCGCTATTTCTTCTATTTGTAGCTCTATCTACATTTCTATTTGTAACTATCTCTATATACTATATATATCTATATATTTCTGTCTATAGCTATATCTATACATCTTATTTATCTATAGCTCTATCTATATCTTGTATCGATAGCTCTATCTATATTTTCTGTCTTTTTTCTATCTATAGCTATATCTATATATCTGCTATATCTTCTATATTTCTATATATCTATAGCTATATCTGCTATGTCATCTATTTATAGCGATAGAGGGAAAGGAGGGAGAGGGAAAGGGAGGGAGGAGAAAGGAAGGAATGAGGGAGGGGGGAAGGAAGGGAAGGAAGAGAAGGAAGGAAGAAGAAGGAAGGAAGGAAGGAGAAGAAGGAGAAAGAGAAAGAGGGAAGGAAAAGGAAGAAAAGAAGGAGGGAGAAAGGAAGGGAAAGAGGGAGGAAGGAAGGAAGAAAAAGGAAAAGGAGAGAAAAGGGGAGGGAGGGAAGGAAAGAAAAAAGGAGGAAGAGAGGGAAGGGAAGGAGGAGAAAAGGAAGGAAGAAAGGAAAGAGGGAGAAAGGAAGGAAGAAAGGAAGAGGAGAGAGAGGAGGAAGGAAGGAAGGAAAGGGAAAGAAAGGATGGAGGGAGAAAGGAAAGGACGGAAAGGGAAAGAGGGAAGAAAGGAAAAGAAAAGAATGAGGGAGGGAAAAAAGAAGGAAAGAAAGAAAGGGAAAGAGGGAGGAAGGAAAGGAATGAGGGAGAAAGGAAAGAAGGGAAAGGGATAGAGGGAAAAGGAAGAAAGGGAGAGGGAAGGAAAGAAGGGTGAGAAAAGGAAGGAAGGAAAGGGAAAGAGGGAGGGAAGGAAGGAGGGAGGGAGGGAAGGAATGAAAAAGGAAGGAAGGAAAGGGAAAGAGGGAGGGAAGGAAGGAGGGAGGGAGGGAAGGTATGAAAAAGGAAGGAAGGAAAGGGAAAGAGGGAGGGAAGGAAGGAGGGAGGGAAGGAATGAAAAAGGAAGGAAGGAAAGGGAAAGAGGGAGGGAAGGAAGGAGGGAGGGAAGGAAGGATGAAAAAGGAAGGAGGAAAGGAAAGAGGGAGGGAGGAGGATGAGGAGGAGGAAGGAAGAAAGGAAGGAAGGAAAGGGAAAGAGGGAGGGAAGGAAGGAAAGGAATGAAAAAGGAAGGAAGGAAAGGGAAAGAGGGAGGGAAGGAAGGAGGGAGGGAAGGAATGAAAAAGGAAGGAAGGAAAGGGAAAGAGGGAGGGAAGGAAGGAGGGAGGGAAGGAATGAAAAAGGAAGGAAGGAAAGGGAAAGAGGGAGGGAAGGAAGGAGGGAGGGAAGGAATGAAAAAGGAAGGAAGGAAAGGGAAAGAGGGAGGGAAGGAAGGAGGGAGGGAGGGAAGGTATGAAAAAGGAAGGAAGGAAAGGGAAAGAGGGAGGGAAGGAAGGAGGGAGGGAGGGAAGGAATGAAAAAGGAAGGAAGGAAAGGGAAAGAGGGAGGGAAGGAAGGAGGGAGGGAGGGAAGGTATGAAAAAGGAAGGAAGGAAAGGGAAAGGAGGAAGGAAGGAAGGAAGGAAGGAAGGAAGGAAGGAAGGAAGGAAGGAAGGAAGGGAGGGAGGGAAGAGGGGCAGGGTCCTGGGGGTCTCCCCATGAGGAGCCCTCTCCCTCCGTGCCTCGGTCCCCCCACCCACCCACCTCTTGGCCATGAGGTAGTAGCGGTCCACGGGGGTCCCCAGGGCCACGTTGATGCCCCGGACGGTGTTGATGTTGCGGAAGACGAGCAGCATGGAGCGGGGGAGGTCCTTGAGGACGCGCATGATGCGGTCAAAGCGGTTCTTGGCCATGTCCTGCATGTAGGCCGCCTCCTCCCGCGTCAGGACGTTGGACAGCGCCAGCTCCGCCATGTTGATGGGCCGCTGCAGCAGGATCTCGCAGAAGAGGAAGTAGTCCTCGCCTGGGAGGGAAAGAGAAATTGGGCGCGTCTACACGGCGGAACTATTGCGGTTTGACACCACTTTAACTTCAATTGCTCGAGGTGATGGAATTCTGGGATCTGTAGCTTTGCAAGCTCTTTAGCCTTCTCTGCAAACTGCAATTCCCATGTATTCATAGCACTGAGCTACGGCAGTTAAAGTGGTGCGAAACTGAATTCATTCTCCAGTGAAGATGCGCCATTTGACTACAGAAAGAGACAAAGTTTGGTAATATTAGAAGACCATCAGCGAACTGAAATTTAAGCCTCTGGGAAGGTTTTTAATTGGTTTTCAGGGCTTTAAGGGCTTATTTTTCTAATTCTTTTCATGTGTAATTCCATTTTAATGTTTGCATATCTATTACTCTATGACGCGAAGGTTTTCATTGCATTGGTTTGGTTGTGAGCCACTTCTGAATCTCTTTTTAGAGAGAGAAAGCAGGATACAAGTAACAACAACAATATGGGAATACATATTAAGGGCATTATTCTTATCGTTGTCGTATTACTTGACATCTGAGTCCCTTTTCATCAAAGAGAAAAAGCAGACTACAAGTAACAACCATAATTTATTTATTTATTTGTCGTGTCAGTCAATTGTATTAAATTTCTAACAGAACAAAACAAACAGACAAAATACAAAATTTGCAGACTTGGTATTCTATTAAATGTCCTTTGACCAGTCTCTAGCCCCTTGGAGTGCCTCTGGGGTTGCCGCAAGGAGGTCCTCTATTGTGCATGTGGCTAGGCTCAGGGTGCATTGCAGCAGGTGGTCTGTGGTTTGCTCTTCTCCACACTCGCATGTCGAGGATTCCACTTTGTGGCCCCATTTCTGAAGGTTGGCTCTGCATCTTGTGGTGCCAGAGCGCAGTCTGTTCAGTGCCTTCCAAGTCTGTGTGCCCATGGGGGAGTCTCTCATTTGGTATCAGCCATTGGTTGAAGTTCTGGGTTTGAGCCTGCCACTTTTGGACTCTCGCTTGCTGAGGTGTTCCAGCGAGTGTCTCTGTAGATCTAAGAAAACTATTTCTAGATTTAAGTCATTGACGTGCTGGCTGATACCCAAACAGGGGATGAGCTGGAGATGTCGCTGCCTTGGTCCTTTCACTATTGGCTGCTACTTCCCGGCGGATGTCAGGTGGTGCAATACTAGTTAAGAAGTGTAATTTCTCCAGTGGTGTAGGGCACAGACACCCCGTGATAATGCGGCATGCCTCATTAAGAGCCACATCCACTGTTTTAGCATTGTGAGATGTGTTCCACACTGGGCATGCGTAAGCAGCACAGTAGCACAGCGCAAGGGCAGATGTCTTCACTGTGTCTGGTTGTGATCCCCAGGTTGTGCCAGTCAGCTTTCGTATGTTATGGTGTCTAGCACCCACTTTTTGCTTGATGTTCAGGCAGTGCTTCTTGTAGGTCAGAGAACGGTCCAGAGTGACTCCCAGGTCTTTGGGTGCGCTGCAATGCTCCAGTGGGATTCCTTCCCAGGTAATAATCCTCAGAGCTCGGGATGCTTGTCTGTTCTTAAGGTGAAAGTCTGTGTTTTAGATGGATTAGGGATCAGCTGGTTTTCCCTGTCATAGGCAGTAAGAGCACCGAGAGCTTCGGAGAGCTTCTGTTCTACCATCTCAAAGCTCCCTGTGTGAGCGGTGATGGCACGATCATCAGCATAGATGAAACTCTCTGTCCCTTCTGGTAGTGGCTGGTTATTTGTGTAGATGTTGAACATGGATGGAGCGAGCACGCTCCCCTGAGGCAGGCTGTTCTTCTGTTTCCGCCATCTGCTTCTCTGGCCCTGGAACTCAACAAAAAAGCTCCTGTTTTGTAGCAGGTTTCCTATGAGGTGGGTGAGGTGGTCGTCCTTTGTGATATTATACATTTTCTCCATAATAATAATATGGGAAGATATATTAAGTGCATTATTATTATTATTATTATTATTATTATTATTATTATTATTATACTTTTTAAATAATATTCCACAGCAAGCTGGCTTCAGGAAAGGCAGAAGCTGCCCATCGCAAGTGCTGAACCTGACTCAGCACATAGAAGATGGCTTTGAAAGGCAGCAGATCACAGGAACTGTCTTCATAGACCTGTCAGCAGCTTATGAGACTGTGAACCACCGCCTCTTCCTGAGAAAAATGTATAATATCACAAAGGACAGTGTGATGTTTCCTTTCTCCAACCAGATGCACAGAACGATTGACTCATTATGGCACCCCAAAGGCTCCATTGCACCCACCTTTCACTCCCAGTTGCTTGGAGTAATGCTCCATCTTGACATTGTCTCGGAGGATGATGGCCCTCCACAGCTTGCAAAGGGCTTCCCGTTCCCTGCAAGAAAAAACACAAGGGCATCTTTATGGCTCCTTCTTAAAGGGCCAGCGCAGATGCATTGTTTAGTCATGCATCGTTTTGCAACACAGTAATTCAACTTGATTAGCAAACCATAGGTGAAAGCAACCCCAGAAAGGAGAGGCAGGCAATACATAACATCATCATCATCATAATTTTTGTTCCTGAGTTATAAATGCCCTTATAAATGCATCATTATGGGTCCTTCTTAAAGGGCCAGCGCAGAGTTCCCCAAATATATAATGATGAATTGTTTAGACATGCATCATTTCGTGACACAGTAATTCAGCTTGATTAGCAAACAATAATATAATAATAGTAATAATAATAATAATAATACAATTTTTGTTCCTGAGTTATAAATGCTCTTATAAATGCATCATTATGGGTCCTTCTTAAAGGGACAGCACAGAGCTTCCCAACATGCATAGTTTCGCGACACAGTAATTCAGCTTGATTAGTAAACCAAAGGCTAAAGCAACCCCAGAAAGGAGAGGCAGGCAATAAATAACATAACAATAATAATTTTTTTTGTTCTTGAGTTATAAAAGCCCTTATAAATACATCATTATGGGTCCTTCTTAAAGGGCCAGCGCAGAGCTTCCCAACATATCATGATGCATGGTTTAGACATGCATCGATTTGCAACACAGTAATTCAGCTTGATTAGCACACCATAGGTTAAAGCAACCCCAGAAATAAATGCATCATTATGGGTCCTTCTTAAAGGGCCAGCGCAGAGCTTCCTAAACATATCATGATGCAGTGTTTAGACATGCATCGTTTTGCGACACAGTAATTCAGCTTGATTAGCAAACCAGAGGCTAAACCAACCCCTTATAAGAGCCTTGCTTCGGGCCGAAAGGAGAGGTGGGCAATACATAAAATAATAAAAATAATAAAAGTAATAAGTAATACGATTTTTGTTCCAGGGTTACCAATATCATTTCCTAATTGGTTCTATCATAAAAGCGTGAGAAAAGTTTACTAAACTGCCCAAACTTTGCTTTTGTGGCCTGCACATTGAAAGGTTAAAAATGGCATATTTCCATTAAGGAAAATTACAAAGTTTTGTGGCCACGGTGGCGCAATGAGTTAAACCCTTGTGCTGCTGAACTGCTGACCTGAAGGTCGACAGTTCGAATCCGCGGGATGGGGTGAGCTCCCACTGTTAGCCCTAGCTCCTGCCAACCTCGCAGGTCGAAAGCATGCAAATGTGAGTAGGAAGAAGGGAGGTCATCTAGTTGAAAGGGACCTCCAGAGGACATCTAGTCACTGCTTGAGGTCAGGAGTTCTGGGAAGTCCCAAACAAACACCTGGAAGGGCCAAAGGTCAGGAGCCGCTGACCTTATATGCCCCCCCCCCCCCCCACTTCTGCAGATGTATTGGGTCCTCTTTGCTCTTACCTCTCGTGCAGGAATTCGTAGAGGCCGTGATCGAGGAGGATGAGCTGCGCCTTCCCATCCGGACCCTTTTGCACCAAGACTGCAAAAGAAAGGACAAAATACTAATAATAATAATACATAATAATTAATACATAAATGGAAGTGAGGGCCGTATCTGCACCCCATCCATTTTGGATCAGGCTCAAAGTCAACGCTCCCCATTTGCAGGTTGACCTTCCCAGATTTGATTAATTGTGGATTTCATTAACTAAACCTTCTCCCTAAATCTCCTCCATTGCAACTCAGTACTCAACTTCCAGCATAAAGTTGACCACAAAATCTCACTGGAGATGCTCAAGATTCCCAGCAAAGTGTTCCCCCAAGTTAAAAAAATATAGCAATTTTTATTCAGTGTTCTTCCTTCAAACCTTCCCAATAGATGGCCTGCCTGACTATCCCTCTTCCTTCTTTCCTTCCCTTCATCATTCCTTCCTTCCTTCCTTCCTTCCTTCCTTCCTTCCTTCCTTCCTTCCTTCTTCTCTCCCTTCCCTCCTTCCCTCTCGTTTCTTTCTTTCCCTCCATTCTCACCTCAGTTCCCTTTCTTCCTTCCCTCCTTCCCCCTTCCTTCCTTCTCTTCTTTTCCTTCTCCCCATCCTTTCCTTCCTTCCTTCCCTCCCTCCCTCCTACTTCTCTCTTCCTTTCTTCCTTCTCTTTTCATTCCTTCTTCCTTCTCCCCATCCTTCCATTCCTTCTTCCTTCTCCCCGTCCTTTCTTTCTTTCCCTTCTTCCTTCTCTTTCTTTCCTTCTTCCTTTTCCCCATCCTTCCCTTCCTTCCTTCTACTCCCTTCCTTATCTCCTTTCTTTCCTTCTTCTTTCTCCCTCCTTCCTTCCTTCCTTCCTTCCTTCTTCTTCCTTCCTTCCTTCCTTCCCTTCCTTTTTTCTTTCCCTTTTCCTTCCTTTTTTCTTCCTTTTCCTTCCATCCTTCCTTTCCTTCCTTCTTTCTTTCCTTCTTTTCCTTTCTTCCTTCTCCCTTTCCCTTTCCTTCCGTCCTCTTTCCTTCCCTCCTTCCCTTCCTTCTTCTCTTCCTTCTTCCTTCCTTCTCTCCTTTCCTTCTTCCTTCTCCCTCCTTCTCCTTCCATTTTTCCCTTCCTTTCTTCTCCCTTCCTTCTTTTCTTCTTCCTTCTCCTTTTCCCTTCTTCTTTCCTCCTCCTTCTCCCTCCTTTCTCTCTCCTTCTTTCCTTTCTCCCCTTCTTTCCTTCTTCTCCCTTCCCTTTTTTCTTCCTTCTCTCTTTCATTCCTTCCCTCTCTCCTTCCTTACCCTCTTTCTCCTTCCTTCTCTTCCTGCTTTCTTCCCTTCCTTCATTCCTTCCATCTCTCCTTTTCCTTCCTTCCCTTTTCTCCTTCCCTCCTTTTCTTCCTTCCCTCCTTCCTCCCTCTCCTCCTTCCTTCCTCCTTCCCTCCCTCCTTCCTTTCCCTTCCTTCCTTCCCTTCTTCCTTTCCCCCCTTCCTTCTTTCTTTCCTTCTCTCCCTCCCTTCTTCCTTCTCTCTCCTTCCTTCCTTACCATTTCCAGGGTGGGGATCGGCATGGATGAAGCCTGTGAGGAAGATCTGCTCCGCAAAGGTTCGAATCAATTTGTCTGCCGCCTTAAAGCAAGAAAGAATGAACACATTGCTGGAACTCAACCACATCCTGCTTGAATTTAGAGTCCTCATCAAGGAAATTCTGTGTCTGATTCTCTTTTTCTCTCCTAGTTTTTAGCCTGATACTTCTCAGGGACAGGCCTCTTTTTATTCAAAGTTTCCAGACCGCATGGCAAGCCTTTTTGTCCTCTTTTTTGCTCTTCTCCTGTGAGCATGGAGAGAGACAAGATGTCTCCAGAAAGACTGATAACACTATCTAGGACTATGATTTTTGTTCCTGGGTTATAAATGTCATTTCCTAATTGGATCAATAATAAAAACATGGAGAACTTTGTTTTCGCAGGAGGGACTGTTGCAACTCAGGGTAGATTCACCTTGCCCAAGACACCACCACACACCAAGGCTGTAGGTTTTGTAGTTTATTGAGAAAAAGCAAAATCCAAACAGGGAAATAAAGAAGTAATGTTCAATGAGCAATACAGAGTCTTAAATGCAAAGGCAAAGTTCCCAGGTTCCAAAGGCAAACAACATGAAGCATAGTCCTTTAGCGTTGGTTAAGCAAAAGTCCATGGAGGCAAGTCAAAGTCTCCAAAAATCAGGATCCAAATCAAAGTCCCTAAGAGCCAGGAGCTTTCTGCAAAAGCCAAGGTAATTCCACAGAAGTTAACAGGCTAAAAGCAACATTGGACTGACAGAGAATGCCCTTCAACCAAATCATTAGATAAGTTTCCCCAACATAAAAGCATTACGTTGACCTCTAGCTTCACGCTTGTTGGCAAGGCGTGCACTTCTACGATCTCTTAATTGCAACCGGTCCTCTCTAATCAAATCTTCACTACTATCTTCAAGACCAGTTAGCTCATTATCTTCGCCCTGCTGGGCCTGGTCATCACCCTGGGAACCAAGAGGCCCGGCCCACCCAGAAGGAGCCTCCACCTGGAGCTCCGAAGTTTCACTATTTTTATCTGAAAACACATTCTTTTCTCTAGGGAACAGAAATGCCGCCTCTTCTTCAGAATCAACACTGCCTGCTTCATTTGTCTCACTAACCGGAAGTTCAGAAATCTGTAACCCATCATCCTCCTCATCCTGAGGAGGAAACTCAGGATCAGAAACCTCAGGCTCAGACTGAACCACAACAGGGACATCGTCCTTCTACAGCCCATTTTGCTCTAGTTTTTCAATGACTATCTCATAGAGTCTCAACCCATTCGACATAGTTTGTGCCGAAAAAACAATGTTTCTGGAGTTTAATAACAACTTCCAATCAAACAGGAAATAACACTTTCAAACCAGGAACAGAACAGTTTTCAAATTTTGATTCATAGGAATGAACATGAATCCACATTGACCATATAATACAGTTTCAATCTGCATTATATGGCGGTATAGATGGACACACAAACACACTTCCTTCACTCACGTCCTTGGGCTGCAGGCCTTGGATCTGGATCCCTTCCACATCGTTGATCTTGCAGCCTTCGTAGAAGTCGGCTGTCAGGACCCGCTAATGAAGAGAAAGAGAGAAAGAAAGAAAAGAAAGAAAAACCCAAGTCAACTTTGTCTTCCTAGTGTTAAGAGATTGAGTTCATCTCATTTGTTTTCCCATCTTCTGCACATTAATACATGCCTGTAACTTCAGGTCACTTATTGATTTATGGCAACTCTGTGGATTTCAGAGGATTTTCTTGGGCAACGAATCCCCAGAGATAGTTTCGCCAGTTCCTGAATTCCAAATATAGGCAAAAACACCTGGGATGTGTTGGTGGGCGTCCATTCAAACACCAAGTGGCGTATTTAAAGCAGAGGCTGGACGGCCTGTTTGGGAGGGATTAGATGGTGTCTTGCTTTCTGGCAGAAGGGGGTTGAACTGGATGACCTCTTGGGGGTCTCTCCCAACTCCAGGATTCTTTCATCTATCTATCTACCTGCCTATCTACCTACATATCTATCTCTACCTATCAATCTATATGTCTGCCTACCTATCTACTGATCTATCTTTTAACCTACATATCTATCTATCTACGAGTTCTATCTCCCTATTTATCTATCTCCATCTACACATCTAAATATCTATCTGTCTCTGTCTATCTAGATATCTACATATCTAAATATCTATCTATCTAATTATCTACATTTCTATCTATCTACACATCTAAATAACGGCGCTCCGTGCAGTCATGCCGGCCACATGACCTTGGAGGTGTCTATGGACAACGCTGGCTCTTCGGCTTAGAAATGGAGATGAGCACCAACCCCCAGAGTCAGACATGACTGGACTTAATGTCAGGGGACTACCTTTACCTTTTTACACATCTAAATATCTATCTAATTATCTACATATCTATCTATCTACACATCTAAATATCTATCTAATTATCTACATATCTAACTGTCTACATATCTAAATATCTATCTACCTATCTACCTATCTATCTAAATATCTACATATCTATCTACACATCTATCTATTTATCTATCTATCTACACATCTAAATATCTATCTATCTACATATCTATCTATCTACCTACCTACCTATCTATTTATCTAAATATCTACATATCTATCTATCTATCTATCTATCTATCTATCTATCTATCTATCTATCTATCTATCTATCTTTCTAATTATCTACATTATCTGTCTACACATCTAAAGATCTATCTATCTAAATATCTATCTACACATCTATCTATCTATCTATCTATCTATCTACCTATCTGTCTATCTATCCATCTAAATATCTACATATCTATCTACACATCTGTCTATCTATCTACACATCTAAATATCTATCTATCTACATATCTATCTATCTAAATATCTAAATATTTACATATCTATCTATATCTATCTATATAATTATCTACATATCTGTCTACACATCTAAATATCTATCTATCTACATATCTATCTATCTAATTATCTACATATCTATCTGTCTACACATCTAAATATCTACATATCTATCTATCTATCTATCTATCCATCCATCCATCCATCCATCCATCCATCCATCCATCTAAATATCTACATATATATCTACTCATCTAAATATCTATCTATCTATCTATCTATCTATCTATCTATCTATCTATCTATCTATCTATCTACACATCTATCTATCTATCTATTTATCTACCTATCTATGTCTATCTGTCTATCTGCATATCTATCTACACATCTAAATGTCTATCTATCTACATATCTATCTGTCTTTCTATCTGAATATCTACATATCTTTCTATCTACACATTTATCTACATATCTAGCTATATACCTATCTACATATCTATCGATCTATCGCACAAGGATGATAACAACATCAAATCATCCTTGCAGATGGCCAATTCTCTCACACCAGAAGTGACTTGCAGTTTCTCAAGTAGCTCCTGGCATGACAAAAAAAAATCTATCTATCTACACATCTACACTTACACCTACACCTAACCCTACACCTACCTACCTTCCTACTTATCTACATATCTAGCTATATACCTACCCGTCTATCTACATATCAATCCATTTACCTATCTACATCACTTGTCTATTAATATTATCTACCTATTTTTCTACATTATCTATCTACAGATCTATCTACCTACCTATTTATCTACATATCTATCTATCCATCCATCAATCAATCTACATATCTAACTACATGTCTATTGATCTATCTATTTACATATCTATCTATCTTAGGGGGGTGGGGTTGGACTGGATGGCCTTTGGGGGTCCCTTCCAACTCTAGGATTCTACGATTTGCCCCAAGGAGTTTCCTGGGCAGACAATGCAACACTCAAATTCATTCATGGATACAAAGGGAATGACCAAGGGAGCACATTATGGGAGACCTGCCTTGCTGCTCTTGTCCCAATGGACGCGGGGGACCACCACGAAGGGAAAGTGCGCCAGTTCGCGGGCACAGCGCTCCGAGTTGCGGCCCTCGTTCTCAAAGTCCAGCTCCTGAGCCAGCGTCCCCTTCAGGTCCTGCCAAAGCATCATCATCATCATCATCATCATCATCATCATCATCACATATTCACCTTTCTCTCTTGATTAGTCCCAAACTAAGCCACGTTTAAGATAGTCAAGACAGATGGATACATTGAGCCCATCCATTGCAACACATGACAGACATATTGGATTATAAAATAATAATATTAATATACGAGGGTTGAATGAAAAGTAATGCCTCCACCTTCGTTACTTGGGTTTGGATAGGAATATTTTAATAAACCAAGCGCAGAAATAATCCTTAGAATGTGCTCTTTAATTCCCACTAATCACTCTTCTAGAGACAAAGCTGAAGTCCTTTGGCCACATCATGAGGAGACAGCAAAGCCTAGAGAAGACAATTATGCTGGGGAAAGTGGAAGGCAAAAGGAAGAGGGGCCGACCAAGGGCAAGATGGATGGATGGCATCCTTGAAGTGACTGGACTGACCTTGAAGGAGCTGGGGGTGGTGACGGCCGACAGGGAGCTCTGGCGTGGGCTGGTCCATGAGGTCACAAAGAGTCGGAGACGACTGAACGAATGAACAACAACAACAATCACTCTTCCACATAATCACCAGACAATTGGATACATTTCTGCCAACGATGAACAAGTTTTCTGAAACCATCATGGAAGAAGTCGACACTCTGTTTCCGCAACCAGCGTCTCACAGTTCTCTCAACGTCTTCATCAGAAGCACATGATGTCCCCGCAGATCTTCTTTCATCATCGGGAACAGACGGAAGTCAGGCGGTGCTAAATCTGGACTGTATGGAGGATGTCGTATGGTGGTGAGACCCAGTCTCTGAAGTTTCAAGTCTGTGCGCTTTCATTTCAGGCGTCAGCATGCTGGGTACCCATCGTGCACAGATCTTTCAATAGCCAAGCAAAGCAATAATGGGACCCACATGTTCTTGTGAAATGCCAGTGATGCTTGAAATTTCTCTCTGAGTGATACGACAATTGTCCTGAATCAATCTGTCAACGTTTTGCTTGTGACACTCAGTGGTTGCTGTCACAGGATGTCCAACTCTTTGTTTGTCACGTAAGTCAGATGTTCCCACCTCAACATCTTTAAACTTACTCGCCCAACGACACACAGTACTCACACCAACACAATCACCATAAGCAGCTTGCACTCTCTGATGAATCTCCTTTGGCGTGATACCGTCTGCTGTCAAGAATTCAATGACTGCACGTTGCTTACGTCGAATGGACCGACTGTCTGCACAGGGTTCCATACTACACACTTCAACAACACAACTGTTCAATGCTAAGGCTTCCCCCCAAAATGGAACTGTAGAGGAGAGTCTACTGAACAAGCCAGTACCTGCCATATACCAGTACTGCCATCTGTTGAGGAGTTACGAAAGTAGAGGCATTACTTTTCATTCGACTCTCATATATATGCTGGATTTCATATCACAAAATCACAAGTTGAACACTTCCCATTATTATTCATATTCATATTATTATTACCTTCAGGACCCAGCTGAACCCAAAACTGGGGTGCATCAGCTCCACAATCTGCAGCAGGAGCTCCAAGGTGCGGATGTCGCCGTCAAAGCGGTCCCGGAGGTCGATGTACTGCACCTGTAAAAGGTGTGCAAAGGGGAGAGGGAAGGGAATGGGGCCTCAGGTATTTAGTTTCAGGGTTTAGTAAATAGAGGTGCACATGAGATTCAACGGTGTACAAGACTCAAGTTTATCTGTCCGAACATATCTCCCCTTACAAACCATCTAGGACCTTAAGATCATCCGGGGAGGCCCTGCTCTCGGTCCCACCGCCTTTGCGGTCACATTTAGTGGGGACGGGAGACAGGGCCTTCTTCATGGTGGCCCCTCGGCTGTAGAACTCCCTCCCCAATGAGGTTAGATCTGCCCCCTCCCTCCTGACCTTCCAGAAGAAACTTAAAATCCTGGTTATGGGATCAGGCGTTCACAGAATAGTTTGTTTACTAAGAAAGACAATATTTATTGGTCCAGAATTGGGACTGCTTTGGAGGATGATTTTAATTCTGGGGTTTATTAATATATATTTAGAATTATTCTAATTTTGTGGATGTATTTATTATGTGTTTTATATTATGTTTGGCATCAAATTGTTGCCTGTTTGGAAGCCGTGCTGAGTCCCTCTGTGGAGGTCAAGAAGGACAGGGTATCACTGTTTTAAATAAATAAAATATGGAATAGGTTCACTAGCAGTCTCCCATCCAAGGACTAACCATGGCAAACCCTACTTAGCTTCCAGGATGCTATGTGTATGTATATAGATATCTATTTATTTATTTACTATATTTGTATCCCGTTCTTCTCGGCCCTCAGGGCGACTCAGAGCGGTTCACAATAGCAAATACAATACGTAAACATGATAAAAAACAGTGAAGAACAATTCAAAAGAATAACATGATAACAATCAGTAAACATCACAACATCTCGTCTAATCTCATAGTTAAAATCAAGATCCAGTCTCATCTATATCTATATCCATACACAGATATGTGTATGGATATGGATATGTATTTTATTTATTTGTTTACAGTATTTATATACTGCTTTTCTCACCCCTAAGGGGACTCAAAGCAGATTTTTATATATATATATATATATATATATATATATATATATATATATAGATAGATATATAGATATATAGATATATAGATATATATAGATATATAGATAGATAGATAGATAGATAGATAAATATATATGGATACGTATATGCATATAGATATACATATACACATAGGGGGGTGGACTGGATGACTTTTAGAGGATTCTATGATACATAGATGCAATGTATATGTATATAGATAAATATATATGGATATGGATATGTATATGCATACAAATATACATATACATACAGGGGGCTGGACTGGATGACCTTTAGAGAATTCTGTGATACATAATAGATTGCCTATTGTGAAGGAGCTTCCTTCTCTGGAGGCTTCTAAGCAGAAGAGTGATGGCCATCTGTCGGGAGGGATTGGGTGTGTCTCCCTGCCTGGCAGAAAGGGATTGGGTTAGATGGCCTACCTGCGTGACCGCATCTCTGTGTACGAACCCACACTATCTCTTCGTTCATCTGGAGAGGCCCTACTCACGATCCCACCTCCATCGCATGCGCGATTGGTAGGGACGAGGGACAGGGCCTTCTCGGTGGTGGCCCCTCGACTCTGGAACTCGCTCCCCAAGGACATCAGACATGCCCCAACTCTGGCAGTCTTTAAGATGAGATTGAAAACGTGATTGTTCCAGTGTGCCTTCCCAGAATAAGGAAACCCTAAGCAACATGTCTCTAATCGGACTTTACTAATGATCTAGGATTGTTGCTGGCTCCATCTCTCTCCAAACACCTATCCTAGTTATAGGTCACCTTGTCATGCCCAGCATTTTTTAAAAAATAATTATTACATTTGGCCCTGCCATAGGTTTTTAATGTGTCGTGGTGTTATTGTTACTGTTTATTGCTTTGTTTATGAGTTTATTTATTGTCTGTATTGCTGTTTTTATTGATGTATTTGGGCTCGGCCTCTTGTAAGCCGCACCGAGTCCTTCGGGAGATGGTAGCGGGGTATAAATAAAGGATTATTATTATTATTATTATTATTATTATTATTATTATTATTATAAGCCCACCTTGACGGCGACGGGAGTCCCGTCCTGGAGGCGTGCGCGGTGGACTCTGGCCAGGCTGGCGGCGGCCATGGGCTGGTAGTCAAACTCCAGGAAGAGCTGGTCGGCCCGGGCGTTGAAGTCCTCCAGGAAGAGGTCGTCCACCTACAAAGAGGAAGGAAGGAAGGAAGGAAGGATGAGGAAGGAGTTGTGGGCACCAGGATCCCCTCCAATGGCTAGGCTGGCTAGGCTTAAGAACAACAACAACAATAACAACAACAACATTATTTTCATCCCATCTCTATTATAATCATCATCATCAGCTTCTTTATTTTCATCCTGTCTCTCTATTACTATTATTATTGTTACGGGAGTGTCCCCGTTTTCCAAGATTCCGAGAGATCAGCGAAGAAGGAAGAGACAGAGACAGCTGTTGCAAGTTCACAGAATTTATTGCTTACCCCGGGTAAGGGCGCCCCAGCTTCAACATGGCTGATGTGGCACAGAGCACTACCCCAAAAGCATCCAGTATTTATAGGCAGAATTACTTAGTTTGCACATGCGCATAATTCTCTTGACATTTACACAATCTAATCAATATCAGTTTGTCCTCGAGGAATCGCAGCCAAGAACACTTGTTTGGCAAGATATTATAATTTCCACTGCTCCCCTTTCATCAGCTGACCAGACTCATTCCCAGATGAGATACATAAAAGTGAATCTTAACTTCATATATCTCTTCACACATATATATGACTCCATACATCTTCATATGTGTATCTTTAACTTATTCAAAGCAAGCATTTCCCTTATTAATTCTTCTGTAATTACTTTCACATCATTTTCCTATATTCTTACTTATGTAGGATTGTTCATAGGACTGAATTACCTGCTATTTACATCAGATGGAGGATAGATGGCGCTGTTGTACCATATCTTCAGATGTTTGTTTTTCTTGGATCAATAATTATCGATTTACTTTTAGAGCCAATTCTCTGACCTTCCACATTTAGCACATAGCCGTCCTTCTATTTATTTACTTAAGATATGGTTTCTCCTGCCTTGTCCCAGTCCTGTTCCATCTGTCAATTTCCCTTCCACCAGAATTCTACCCCCGCACCTTAAGAAAACCTTTAAGGTAAGACTTCTTCATTAATTTCATTAGGTTCTAATTAATTTTCTTCTTGATGACTGCCACATTATTATTATCATTATTATTATTATTATTACCATCATCATTTTTATTTTCATCCTGTCATCATTATTATTATTATTATTATTATTATTATCGTCACCTTTATTTATCCCATCTTTCGGTTATTATTATCATCTTTTTATCCTGCCTTTCACTATTATGATTATTATCATCATATTTATTTTTATCTCATTTTTCTCTATTATTATAATTATTATCATCATCATTATCATCATCACCATCATTATCATCATCTCTATTTTCATCCTATCAGTCTCTATTATTATTATTATTATCATGATCATCTCCATCTTTATTTTTATTCTGTCTATTATTGGTATTATCATCGTCACCATCTTTATTTTCATCCCGTCTTTCTCTACTATTATTATCGTCACCTTTATCTCATTTTTGTTTTTATTATCATTATCTTTTTATCCTGCCTTTCACTACTATTATTATTATCATATTTATATTTATCTCATTTCTCTATTATTATTATTATTATTATTATTATTATTATTATCATCATCATTATAATCTTTATTTTCATCCCATTTGTTTCTATTACTATCATCACCATCTTTATTTTTATCCTGTCTTTCTCTATCGTCATCACCTTTTTATCATTATTATCATCATCATCATCATCATCATTATTATTATTATTATTATTATTATTATTATTATTATTATTTGAAACACAACAAGATGAGTCCACAGCAGACAAGATCTCTCTGCTGGCTGTTGTATTGGATCAAGTGTCTAGGACTGTGTGATGTATCGGCAAATAATGCGTGCAGATCCCGGTAAGTTGGCATTTTGCAGCTGGCAGATGGCAACCTTGTCAGTGCCGATTGTGTTTAAGTGCAGGCCAAGGTCTTGAGGCACTGCACCCAGTGTGCCAATCACCACTGGGACCACCTTTACTGGTATGTGCCAGAGTCTTTGCAGTTCTCTCTTTAAATCCTCATATCGTGCCAGCTTTTCCAGTTGCTTCTTGTCAATCCTGCTGTCACCTGGGATTGCAACATCGACAATCCAAGCTTTGTATTTTCCCATGATCTTGAGGTCAGAAATCTTGTGTTCCAATACTCTGTCTTGTATGAATCCGGAAGTCCCAGTGGAGTTTGATATGTTCATTCTCTGTAACTTGTGATCCCACCCGTTCTTTGACGCAGGCAGATGGTGTTTGTGGCACAAGTTCCAATGAATCATCTGAGCAAGGGTGTTGTGCCTCTGCTTGGAGTCTGTCTGCGTGATCTTATTGTTGTTATTATTATTGTAATAGTTTTCCTTAATTCTCAGATTATGTAAGCTTTTCTAGTTGTTTCTCGTCAATTCTGCTGTCACCTGGGATTGCAACATCGATGATCCATACTTTGTATTATTATTATTATTATTATTATTATTATTATTATTATTATTATCAGCGCTCCATGCAGTCATGCTGGCCACATGACCTTGGAGGTGTCTATGGACAACACTGGCTCTTCGGCTTAGAAATGGAGATGAGCACCACACCCCAGAGTCAGACATGACTGGACTTAATGTCAGGGGACAACCTTTACCTATTATTATTATTATTATTATTATTATTATTATGTAATTATTATTATTATTATTATATCAACATCATCTTTGCATTGTCGAAGGCTTTCATGGCTGGGATCACTAGGTTGTTGTAGGTTTTTCGGGCTATGTGGCCATGTTCTGGAAGCATTTTCTCCTGATGTTTCGCCTGCATCTATGACATCCTCAGAGATTGTGAGGTCTATTAGAAACTAGGCAAGTGAGGTTTGTATATCTGTGGAAGAATGTCCAGGGTGGGAGAGATAACTCTTGTCTGCTTGAGGCACGTGTGAATGTTGCAATTGGCCATGAGGAAGAACTTCCTGACTGTGAGAGCTGTTCAGCAGTGGAACTCTCTGCCCCGGAGTGTGGTGGAGACTCCTTCTTTGGAAGCTTTTAAACAGAGGCTGGATGGCCATCTGTCAGGGGTGATTTGAATGCAATATTCCTGCTTCTTGGCAGAATGGGGTTGGACTGGATGGCCCATGACTGTGAGAGCCGTTCAGCAGTGGAACTCTCTGCCCCGGAGTGTGGTGGAGGCTCCTTCTTTGGAAGCTTTTAAACAGAGGCTGGATGGCCATCTGTCAGGGGTGCTTTGAATGCAATTTTCCTGCTTCTTGGCAGAATGGGGTTGGACTGGATGGCCCACGAGGTCTCTTCCAACTCTAGGATTCTATGATTCTATTATTCCATCTTGAATAGCATTTAATGGCCTTGCAGTTTCAAGGCCTGGCTCGTTGCTGCCTGGTGGAATCCTTTGTTGGGAGGTGTTTCCATAGATAGATAGATAGATAGATAGATAGATAGATAGATAGATAGAAATAGATAGATAGATAGATAGATAGATAGATAGATAGATACGCACACACATACATACCTCACTTACTTAGTTTCCAACAGACCTCACAACCTTTCAGGTTGCCTACCATAGATGTGGGCGAAACGTCAGGAGAGAATGCTTCTGGAACATAGCCATACAGCCCCCAAAATGCTGTTGGGAGGTGTTTCCATAGATAGATAGATAGACAGACAGACAGACAGATAGATACATACACACACACACACACACACACCTCACTTACTTAGTTTCCAACAGACCTCACAACCTTTCAGGTTGCCTACCATAGATGTGGGCGAAATGTCAATAGAGAATGCTTCTGGAACATAGCCATACAGCCCCCAAAATGCTGTTGGGAGGTGTTTCCATAGATAGATAGATAGACAGACAGACAGACAGATAGATACATATACACACACACACACACCCCTCACTTACTTAGTTTCCAACAGACCTCACAACCTTTCAGGTTGCCTACCATAGATGTGGGCGAAACGTCAGGAGAGAATGCTTCTGGAACATAGCCATACAGCCCCCAAAATGCTGTTGGGAGGTGTTTCCATAGATAGATAGACAGACAGACAGACAGACAGATAGATACACACACACACACACACACACACACACACACACACCTCACTTACTTAGTTTCCAACAGACCTCACAACCTTTCAGGTTGCCTACCATAGATGTGGGCGAAACGTCAGGAGAGAATGCTTCTGGAACATAGCCATACAGCCCCCAAAATGCTGTTGGGAGGTGTTTCCATAGATAGATAGACAGACAGACAGACAGACAGATAGATACATACACACACACACACACACACACACCTCACTTACTTAGTTTCCAACAGACCTCACAACCTTTCAGGTTGCCTACCATAGATGTGGGCGAAACGTCAGGAGAGAATGCTTCTGGAACATAGCCATACAGCCCCCAAAATGCTGTTGGGAGGTGTTTCCATAGATAGATAGACAGACAGACAGACAGACAGATAGATACACACACACACACACACACACACACACACACCCTCACTTACTTAGTTTCCAACAGACCTCACAACCTTTCAGGTTGCCTACCATAGATGTGGGCGAAACGTCAGGAGAGAATGCTTCTGGAACATAGCCATACAGCCCCCAAAATGCTGTTGGGAGGTGTTTCCATAGATAGATAGACAGACAGACAGACAGACAGACAGATAGATACATACACACACACACACACACACACACACACACACACACCCCTCACTTACTTAGTTTCCAACAGACCTCACAACCTTTCAGGTTGCCTACCATAGATGTGGGCGAAACGTCAGGAGAGAATGCTTCTGGAACATAGCCATACAGCCCCCAAAATGCTGTTGGGAGGTGTTTCCATAGATAGATAGACAGACAGACAGACAGATACATACACACACACACACACCCCTCACTTACTTAGTTTCCAACAGACCTCACAACCTTTCAGGTTGCCTACCATAGATGTGGGTGAAACGTCAGGAGAGAATGCTTCTGGAACATAGCCATACAGCCCCCAAAAATGCACAGCAAC